CCACCTCCACCACCAAAACCTCCAGTATACACACCAGCTCCATCTCCCAAATTTCCGGTATACACTCCACCTCCAACAAAACCACCAGTAAGCAAACCCACTTATTTACCGCCGCCACCACCGCCGTCTAGGCCTCCGCCGCCACCACCAGTATACAAACCTACATCGCCGCCACCAGTATACAGACCAACACCGCCACCATCACCTCCAAAACCTCCAGTTTACATTCCGCCTTCACCAAAACCAGTACCCTCATTGCCGCCACCACCACCAAGACCTCCAGCCACGCCGCCTCCAATCAAAGTTTACACTCCGATTATCACCCCCACTCCCACACCAATAAAAATCTATACTCCATCAAGAACATCACAAGTATTTGTTCCGACAAAACCACCAATCAGCGACGATAGACAATATTTACCACCAAAAAGTGAAGGATATTTTTACCCCAAACCAGCTGTCCCATTCGTGTTTTAGGAACAAACTTTTTGCATAGCAAATTGTAACTGTATGTATATGGTGTGTATTTATGTAAATATTTAGATTTTTTTTAAGTAACATTATTCTAAATATTTTAAGTGAGTATTTTAGGGTAGGTACTTGACTTTTATGTTGTCGATGATGAAACCTTTTCTAGTATTTAGTTATTTTTTAGTTCGTAAGTATAGTTGAATTCACTAGTACTTAGAGACAAAGCTTAGAAAGTACTGTCAGTTTTCATTCTATACCGTGTATAGTAAAACACTGACAATTTTGTAAATACCTGCAAGTATTTAGTTTAATTGATTCTTATTATGTAATCACATGATTTGCATTTGAGATGAATGACATGTGATTACATTTTAACAGTGATAACGAATAAGAAACTTTTTTATTACTCGTATTTTTCTTGATATGAATGTTATTTATAATTCACAAATGATGCATAACAAAATATTATGTGTGAAAAAGGTTAAAAAAACTTTGCCTAAGATTCAAGACTTATTAATGCTACATCTGGTAACAACATTTTATAACATAAGTTGCTGTACAATTTTCTTTTAAAATAAACTATTAAATGAAAGACATTCTTTATTTTCGCAAAGCTCAATAGCCACCTAGCAAAAATTTATAATTTGCATGTTTCCATAACATCAAATTCATTTTTGTGATATTTGTGTTGTGTCGTAAAACCACTTAATCAAAATTTTCAGTGATATTATGAATAACACCAATGGAGACCCTAAAGCAGCCCTTTTTGTTTTCACCGCCCCCATACTGCAGACAATCTGAAAAGCAAAAACATGAAATTGAAGCCTTACCTTCGCTAGAGTTAATTGTTTCGAATCCTTCCAAACTGCTAACACTATATGAAAAACTCCACGACAATGCCAGTAAAACTATTGAAAAGAAAATAAATTCCTATGTAAGTCTAGTTATTGACACAATTTTCAAGAATTTTTTAATTTAGAGACAATACAAAACTGTCAAATAACTCAATTTTAAAATTCGTTGGTGCTGCATTTGAGAAGAAATCATATATTTGTTTTCTCGTTGTGAAAGTTTTGTAATTGATTTTTTTTCCATTCTTCTTAGTATTTAACATGACAAAAAAGAATGTCATAAATTCAAAAGCTGAGTTTTGACACAATGGAATTTAAATTACCACCAAAAAAATTTTACAATCAACACAAAATCATGTTTTTGAATAAACACGCGTTCTTTTTTACTTTTTCAGTTAATGAAAGAAGCAGATTGCGCATCAACCTTCTTGATCAATCTGTTGCCATTTTCAGAAGAAGCTCTTGTACAAACAGTTGGTAATAAAGAACTTGAAGACACACTGCGATTTCCTCTTTCGAGAGACATAATGGCACAATTAGTCCAATGTGAAAATGAAATTTTAAAGTGCGACAATAGCTTAAATCCTCAAATCGTTGCAATATTCGAGAAAATATTTGATAATACAAAACTAAAAATCATCACAGTTCCAATTTTAAAGAAACAAACATGTAAATGTTTCTAGTTTAATTTTCAATTAGAATAATAAGGTCTTCTTTAGATTACCAATGTGCCACACAAAATATAAAACCAGCACTACTTGCGTGCTTTGTTGAAAGTAAAAAAGAGGAGAACTTTATTGCGAAAATAGCCAATGAATTGTTTAGATTTTGTCTACCAGTTTTAATAAATACTCTAGCAGCTGAAGAAGAAGCACGTCAAAGGAAGCAATACCAAACATTGCTAGATGCAACTTGTAAATTTTGCTCACACATACATGACATTTATGAATTAATCACAGTTATAACAAATGAAACTAAAAAATTAACTAATGCCCAAAAATGTTCCATATTTCTGGTAAACCTGGACGATCTTCTTCTAATTTCAAGAAAGTACAACACACCAGGGGATAAAAAAAGCAAACCTAGCGTGAAACTTGCTCTTCATTATGCCATCCCAGGTATTATTTTTAATTAAAATTTTATTTACATAATTTTATTCACAGACCATGTGGCCACTACTGGTACGCTTATCAATAGCCACAAGCACCCAGAAAGTGCTTTATGCAATGAAAATTCAATGGAAATCATTGAATTCCGAAATTTTTTATGCTTCCCTATTAAAAATGGCGATAACGTAATAGGAGCCATTCATCTTTATAATAAAAGAAAAGGGAATTTTACACGTTTCGATGAAGACATTGCCAATATTTTGAGTGTTCATTGTGGCTTTGCCCTAAGCCAGAGTTTGAAATTCACCCAATTTGAGAATTTTAAAATCAGGAGTCAATTAGTTGACAATTTGATGATACGCCACGAACAGGTAAATTTCGTTTCAGTGTCACATAATTTCTTATAGTTAAAACAGGTGAATATGGAGGAAGTAATGCAGAAAATCTCTTGCCCTCTCATACATCAATATCCCAACTTTGARCTATTCAGTTTCTCACCACGAAGTATAGTTTCAATGGAAACCACATGTCTCGTCTTTAAGATGTTTGAAAGATTGGGATTTCTCACAACATTTGGTATTAAAAGAGAAGTGTTTGCTAAATTTACGATGACTGTGAAAAATTGTTGCCGCGAAGTACCCTATCATAACTGGATGCATCTATTTTCTACAGTACATTTTGCTTATTTGTGTTTGACGCATTTACAGTTAGTTGAAGATAAATACATTACGTGAGTATCAGAGTTTTAAAAAATTCGATTGTGGTATTTTTTTTAGTCAATTAGAAGCTCTGGCTTATTTCGTGACTTGTCTATGCCATGATGTCGATTACAGAGCTGCCAATAGTTCGTTTCAGCAAACACCAAGTGATGTTTTATGCACTCTGTATTCCAGTCCTGGATCGGTTATGGAAAGACATCGTTTGTCTCAAATCCTGCGAATTCTCAATTCAGAGGTACGTACAGTAAAAGTTCAGTATGCAACATGTGTTGTAAGTAAATTACGGCAGTGACTATAATAAATAAAACTACTTGTATTCCAGTAGTGTCCTGAAATTTTACTTACCCGGCGCATCCACCATAATTCCACTTCACCCTAAATAAATACCAAGTACTAATTTGCTTACACATAAATTAATAAACTTAAAATAATGTTACAAATCTAACTATAAATATTGAAACAGTAAATTTGAATAAATTGTGACTTCATTTCACACATATTTTTTTCTTTTAAATTATATTTTTATATGTCTGTTTTTGCTAATAAGAGTATATAAATGTATTTGTGAGTTTTTGGTTGATTGTTAATTATAATTATTTATAGGGCTGCAACTTTGTAGAAATTTTGAATCGAGAAAATTATAAACTTTTTGTGGATTTACTAAAAGACTTGACATTAGCCACAGATTTAGCTATTCACTTTAAACACTACACGAAAAAATACAATATGACAAGGGTAAGTTTAATAAACTCTATTTTTAGTTTATATTCCTTATGTTTATAATATTTTTAGAGTGGTTACGACAGGAATAATCCAGAACACCGGTATGTTTTCACAACTCTTTTAGTTACATGTGCTGATTTATCGGATCATGCAAAGGTGGGGAAACTCAATTATTATTTGCTTTTATTAACTTTCTTGAAAAACTGTGTTTATATTTTAGGACTGGACAGTGTCCAAAACGGTGACCATACAACTTTTTAAAGAGTTTTTTACGCAAGGGGATTTAGAGATAAATTATTATACAAATCCTCTCAAAATGAAAGACACTGAACTGGTTTATATACCAGATTTGCTGGTAAATTTTTTGAGAGATGTTTGCCTACCAGCATTTAAGTATAAACGATAAAAACAATTTGTATGCAAGCTATTCATTATTACATTGGATTTCAGGATGTTAGCAGTGATGTTTGTAGAAATAAAAGAACTTGTTCAAGTAATAAAACGGAATATCCTTTACTGGGAGGCTTCTAAACATCTCTTTTTAAAAGCTTTAGACAGCGGAAGGTCCTGTTTAGAACTTTTACAGACTGAAGAATTTGACAAAGATGTGGAAGCTGCAGTACAATTATTAGGAACCAAGAATAATTAAGTTTTCTCTGTGTAAATAACACTAAAATAACTAACGTACGTAATCCTTAATTTAATCAAAATTGCTTATTGAGCAAGTGTGGTACCAGATGTTTTAGAAAAATTTTCAAATCTTGCTTTCTCTGATTCGCCACGGCCAAAATATCGTCACAATCCGGCTTATCCTCAGTTTCGTAACTCATAACACCTTCGTTAGTAATAAGACTAAACGCAAAACATCCAAGTCCACAATGTCTCGCTGTGATAATTTCATGTACAGTGGACATTCCCACAGCATCGCATCCTAGAATTTTCAACGCTCTCATTTCTGCAACTGTTTCGTAACTCGGTCCTCCAACACAGGCGTAGACACCTTCGTGAAATCCCTTCAAACCCAATTTCTCCACGAGAATTTTAGCATCTTTGATGATGGTTTGATCGTAAGCATTGTTCAATGCTATGAATCTGGGGCCGAAAGATTCGTCGTTGGGTCCTCTCAGAGGGCTGTTGCCGGCGAAACCGACAAGGTTGAGGTGGTCTTTGATGATCATAATGTCGCCGGCTTTGTACGACGGGTTGACGCTGCCTGCGGCGTTTGAGACGATGAGTGTGGAGACTCCGAGGAGTTTCATCAAACGCACGGGCATCACACATCGGGACAGAGAGTTGCCTTCGTAGTAGTGAAAACGGCCTTGCATGCAAATCACGGAAATTTTGTCAATTTTGCCGAAAATGAGACGACCTTCGTGACCGATGACTGTGCTTTCGGGGAAATTGGGGAGGTCGGCGTACTCGAATTTTAGGGGATCCGTTAAAAGTTCAGCCACAGAACCTACAAAAACAAAGCGGTTTACCCAATTTTGGAAAATACAACAAAATTCTAAATCATTTATTTTAGTGTAGTTTCTAGAATACTGCATTATTAAATCATTTCTTCGCTCTCACTAGTTTTATAATCAAAACCAAAAAACGAATAATTTATTTTCTTTGTTTTCAAATTTTTTACAACAAAAACTTTTTCAGTAAAGGTTTTAAAAGTAATTTATGTTACTTGAGTGGAGGTAATTATAAATTAGAATAGAATCATTTCAAAATACAATTATTTCGTAAATCATGTGTAATACTCGTAAATAAGTACTCCTGTTTGATAAACGTTATCTTGTTTACATTAAAATGACAAATACCTAAATAAAATCAAGTACCCGGAATTATTATTATACAAAGTGATCCACAATTAATGAATCTGTTGGTAATCCTGACTTTAATTTTTAAAAGTTACCATTGGAGTACCCTTTCCATTAACAACAATTCAACAATCTTGTAAAATATTTGTCAAGCAAAACCATATCCGGTTGCCGTGTGTCAAATCATTAACAAAGATACTTTCAAATGTTACCAACTGATATAGTCTTTCTGGATCACTTCGTATATTATTTAGTCCGTTGTCGTGCATTAATATATTACTGGAAAATAAATTAATCCTAAGTACAACTTAAAAAAAAGATCATCGATAATACCTTGTTATGCTCGTAAAAATTGCAGCTAGAATATCTGATAAGAAATAATGTTAATATAATATTGACAAATTATCCCTGCTATCAGTATTATTAGTCATTATATGTGGGAGTGCCTCTTTAAATTTATTTGAAATGTATAATTTCGATTTGCATTTATCTAAAAATGTAATGATTTTAATTTACTCACCCAAACCTGATCCACAAATAATACCGATTTGTGGTGTAATTTTCACCCTATCCTTCAAATAGTTGGCAATTGCTTGTATTTCTTCGTAAGTGTAACTAAGAAAATTACTTATTTTTTTCACACTGATCTCGTATAGTACAAATAGTTGTACTTACTGTTTTTCCAACACATTTTTCTTGCATATGCAACTAGAATTCATATTGTTATCACACATTCTACTCTTACCACACCTAATAACGGTAATAACGATTATTTGGTCAACGCCAGTTTTTATAGCGTGAAAACTTATCAGCCACTAACAACACAATCAATCAAATTAGATAATAGAGTGTATTTTTATTAAAAAAAATACACAAACGTGTGGCATCAAAAAGGCCAAAGCAATTGGAACACAAAATCATTCGAATATTAAAAAAATACATTTCTTATTAATATGTAAAAAGAATCGTATTCAATCGAGTACCTACGTCAGAAACTAAAACAATGTACCTAAAGAAACTTCAAAGAAACAAATTTATGTTTAATTTATTGTAATTATTATTTAGTGGGTACCCTTTATACCTAGACGTCTCGTCCTTAGCTCATGTTTACAACAATTATTAACAATTAATTATGTCTAATTCACTGCATAAAGTTTTTGAATCTTGTGTACGATTTTTGCAAATGGATGGTTGTTAAAAGACAAATGTAAAAAAAGTACCGGGAATTTTTGAATTTATAGAGTTTACGTAGAAGATATCTTAATTCTTGTCTGGTATATTGGTATAACCATACTCTCTTACCAAACCAAATTTTACCGTTATTGGTCAAGTGGTTTGTTTAAAATAGTTTTTACCATACTTGTGGTTAAGTCAGGCTTGCGATTTTTATCATGAATTGCACTACCGATCAGAGAATTTGCTTGAAATTTTGTGTTGCCAAGAAAAATTCGTGTAGTAAATCTTTGAAAATTTTGCAAAAAACCTTTGGGGACTCATATGTATGTCAAAAACACAAGCATATGAGTAGTAAAAAAAATTCCAATTGGGCCGGAAAGAGGTTACCGACTTTCCTTGTTCTGGACGATCGTGAACAGCAAAGACGGTGGAAAATGAAAATCAAATAAATGATGACTGTAAATCATCACTTAGGTTTAAGAGTAATATTATTTATCCGTTGTGAAATGTTTGTAAAAATATTCTCTGGAAAAGGCCAGATTTGTGGAAAGACAACTCTGGGATTTTGCACTATCCTGCACAAATTTTTGGATAAAAACTCAACAAATGTCATCAATCAAGCACCGTATTTAGCTAACATGTGTCGTTTTCCCATTACTTAAACTTAAATTGCTTCGCGAGAAAGGCGTTTTGTGTCCATAAAGAACTGAAAGCCATATCTTCCGCTGTTTATAAGAAGTGTTTTGATGTTTGAGTTAAACGTTGGCATATGCGTGTCGCTTGAGATAGAGTTTACTTTACAAGGAATCATAATGATCAATAATAACCTAATACTATTTTATTTAAAATTTCCCGGTACTTTTTGTACAGAAGGTTTTTATTACGATAAAGCGCATTTCCCGTGAGTGCCCCCTATTGCCCACGTTACGCCACTGGTTAAGTCATCATGAGATCATCTTATTAACGCAACTACTTTAATTCACAAGTCATTAGTTCGATTTGAGTTTCCATTAGTTTTTCGTAGAGTTTTCAGTGAAGCCATAAATCGTTTTATCAACCTGTTTTACCTTATAACTCCTCCATCCACGTTAATAACTATTTATAATCACAGTCTTGTATGCATCTCTGATATAAATACACATTCTAAATATATAATAGTCCCAGCTTTCCGTCCGCCGCGCTCGACAAACCAACCGTCCTCAGTATCAAATCGAATCAATTTTTCTCAAGCCACAATTACCTCAAAACCGTCGATCGAATAAACGATTTCCCTAATCGAAAACCATGCCTGAACAGCAGCACAACCAACGTCAAGTGTTTCTCCCAACCTTGCTTTACCAAAATTGGTGAGTGCGTGGTCGTCATTACTCAAACATTGTAAAGTTATTTACAGTGTTTAGTGCGTGTGCGAAATGTCGCAAGGAACGCAATTAAAACGCAGCCAAAAGACGGAATTTTCGCCGATTGTGACTCGCGAACGCAGTTTCGTTCGACCAAATAAAGACCCACAGAAGAGGCGAAGCCAGACGATGGCCACGATCAAAGGCAAACCCACCATGGAAATCTACAGACCTCCGAACGTGCGAACCGACATTCCCAACTCGGGAAAACTAAACGTGCATGCGAAGGAATTCACAATGAGTCACGAGTTGCAACCGTCGAAATCGAGTGGAAATTTGGCCGGAAATTTCGACCCGATTCAGCTGCAACATTCGAAATCCAGCGGGAATATTTTAAGACATCCGACTTTGATTCCGATTATTTCGACTCCGCTACCCTTGCCGCTGCTACACTCGACCTCCTCCTCGCACATCTTGAACTTGCCGAGGGTTAGTTACCAATTCGGGAACGAAATTTTGGCACATAATATCTTCACACAAAAGCATACTCCAGTTCAGACCAATTGGAATAACTACCAACAGAGCAACAATTTGGCAAATTTGAAGCGTTCCAAAAGTCTGGGGGCCTCAGATTCGCACAATTTAGCCGCGAAGCTCAAAGAAATGGCCAAGGAAGACATCGACGTTGGGATTTTCCCCGCCGAACACCAAGCCAACTTAAAACTAGCCATGGAGGACCCTAACCAGATCTCCTCGCGAGTAATTATGGACTTGGTCAAAGTCATAATGGAGCAAGTGGTGGAAGGTATGCGATATTGCGAAACTGGAGCCAAGCTGTGTTTGTCCATAATCGAAAAAGAGCAAAACCAGACGTTCCTTGAATCCCTTCTAAACATGTGTCAACAGTGGTACCAAGAACGGGACAAAATCCTGCGGGGTGTTAAAGCCGGAGACGGGACGAGATTCACAGCTTTCATGTGGTTTTTGACTGAGATGTGTGGTCAGTTGAAACGACACCATATTAAAGAACAATACGAGGCCCTCCAACCCGATTTGGTGCTCCTTTCTGTACTCGCCAAATGCTGCCAGGCTTGTGTCAGTCTGCCGATCAAGTGTCTATCGGAGACGGAATGTCTCTTCTTTGTGCTGACATCGATTGGAAGGGATTTGGAGACGGAGTTACCTCAACAGTTGGAGCAGTTGTTGGCCAGTGTAAGGGATGGATTTTTGGCCAGTGCTGGGGCGCCGGCTGTAAGACGTACTCTTCTGCAGTTGATCGAGTTGCATGCGTCCAATTGGCAGTTGCCGGGATCGTCGGTTTTGTATTATTATCCCAGGATAAAGTGAAGGACTAAATTGTAATGTCGTGGACCAAAAGAATGTGTGTGCGTGGAGATGAAAGTTTCATTTATGTGCTGTAACACTTAGTTCAGTTACCACTCAAAAAACTGTAAATTCAATGTTTCAATAAACAGAATTTTTAACATAGTTTTTGTAATACTCCCTTTTAAATAAAATTCTTACAATAAAGTAATGTAGTATAATCAAGGTTTCGGAAATAAAACCTTAAAATGGGGTGTGTTAAAAAGGCCGGGCAGGCGTGCCATGGGAGATATGTGATCATACAGAGAAAACAATTTTATATAAACGAGCTCTAAAGACTCACTTTTCAGGGAAAACCCTTAAATAATAAAGTCAAACGACTATACAGTTCAAGAACAACTATTTACCTTAGATAGGTGTTAATTTGGTGACCTAAGAACTTTGTAAAAAATTAAAATTTTGTTAAATAATTATTAATCTATTGCTTAGGGCTAAGCAAATGTTGCAATTTTCGCTAGCACACAAACTCATTTTTCCAAAGGTATTAGTGTTTTTTTTTTAATTTGCAAGAAATTGTCAAATTTTGACAAATTCAGAAAGTAGGTAAGATGGCAAAGTAATTTAAATGTTGCCATGTATTAGAAGCTCGATTTTCTAATTCATTAAAAAAGAATTAATTTTATAAGTTTTCTCATAGTTGAACGATAAAATTTTGTAAATGTCTCCTTAGAGCACTTTTATAAATTATAAAATGATATTTTGCTGTCCTCTTAAGGATTCATTATTTATTGCCAGGTCTTTTCATGGACTTTAAGCGAGTGTTACACATTTAAAAATGTCCAATAACTAAAAATTCGGTTATTTTTATTTCTTTTTGGTGATTCTTATACCTGTCCGACCTTTTTTAATAATTTATTAATTTAATTAATTATTGTAATCATTGCACACTTTCTTAACTTTTGTCGAGCAGTATATTTAAGAAATGAGCAGTTTTTAGAAACTGGCATCCCTTATTAAATGTTCTAGTAAGTTAAGAGGGTGGACATGAGTGTTGCTTTTTAAATCTTTCTTGAATAATGTATTTTATTTCAAAATGTATATTGTGGAAAACAAAAGGCTCTGTTGTAGAAAGCATGCATTATACATTTTACTTATTGATTGAAGCAATAGAATATTAAGCATCAAGAACGGTAAGGACATTTTACCGATCGAAGACAATTGTTATCAGAGATCGGTAAGTCCTTACCGTTCATGATCCTTATGACATCTATTATGCGATTGTTTTTTGTTAGTTTTTTTAATAAAATATCTAAAAATGTTCTAGAACGCCAAAATAGTTTTTTGAATGCTTACCGACTAGCAACAATAAACAAAATACTTACGGACGAGTTTGGGATAGCAATGGGTAAATACAACTTACTGTCTTGGAAACAGACGTAGTAAACAATCGAATATAGTCTAATCGCGCAAAGAAATTTAAACAAACCAATTCACACTTATATTACGAGAGGATTTTTAGACTTTTTGTTTCTATTTTCTCAATTGCATAAGAGTTTTTTTTTAATGAAATATATATGTTTTATTATATATTCGAATCCCTATCTAGTAATTGTGGAATATAATGTTTCTCTATACAGGATGTGTCAAAAGTCCCGGATCAACGTGACATGCCATGCAAGGTAATAAGATACCAGGAGCATGGAAAAAATGTATCTAAATTGCTCCCCAAAGGTTAGGGAAGTGTGCAATAATTAATTAAATTGAAAAATTATTAAAAAATTAATTAATAATTAATTAAAAGTGAGATAAAGGCAGATATCTTTGTACTTTTTTGTGTTTGCTGGATTCCACAATGCATAGGAGTATAAAATTTGTTTGTTGTAAAAATAATTCGACTTCCTTAACTTTTGTGGATCAGCATATAAAAATTTCGAGTTATGAGAGTTTAAATTTTGCACTTTGTCTCTATTTATTTTTGTTGGAAAAATAATTTTCCATGTTTTTTTGCTACAGGCTATTAGAAGAGRAAACAAGGAAGCTGTATCCTAAATTGTAACTCTGTTTAGTGTCATTTGTGGCTTTTATGGGCAAAATTTTTGTACCTTTACCAAATAATTATRAAACAAGAAGAAGTATACAAGATCATCAATATCATTAAATAGACATAAAAAAATGTCAAATGTCAAAAAAATAAATGTCAAAATTTTTTTAACATTTTTTTATGTTCCTGTTATCTACCTTACATATTATGTCACGTTGGTCCGGGACTTTTGACACACCCTGTATACTTATTAACAAATCTTGCTCCGTGCGGGCGAGCATTATCGTCGTCTATCGACTCGATTATAAAATGCTAATACGAGTTCTTATACAGGGTGTTATGTAAGTGGACTAAAGTGTCTCGAGGAATTCTTCCTTCAAGCAAGACTCTTAACGTTAAAACGTTTTTTTTAATGTCTACATTTACAATTCACAGCTTTTTGAATAAGATCAATAAGAAGGAAATTTTATTTTACCACAAAAATATAAATTTAAGTAAGTCTTTGACAATTATAAATGTTTAAAGATGCGATCAGGGTCGGTCGAACATCAGGAATAAGTCTCTTAAAATAAAAATATAATTTTTGCTCTTATTTCTAAATTAATTTCATGTGTAATAGACCAAACACCCGGTATAAAAATGTCTAACAAGATTTTTTTATTTTAAACATATGGTGTTACAAAGCAAACTTCATTTGTTAATCTGTTCATAACTCTGAAAGGTGTAACAAATACTGGGTATAAAGTGTAACATATTGAACAATTATAATTTTGAATGCAGATTGTGTTCTACTTTAATGTTAACTTAAGCTGAAAGTGACTGTGGGGGTGACTCTGGGGGTGACTCTGGGGGTGACTCTGGGGGTGTCTCTGGGGGTGAAGCTTGAGGTGAAGCTGGAGGCGAAGCTGGAGGTGAAACTGGAGGTGGATCTGGAAGTTCTTCATCAAGATTATTTATTTCATCTAACCAAAAATTTTGTGTGACGTTGATTAGAAAATAGAAACTTGGGTGTATCAAATTTGCGTATCTAAGTTGCACCTCAGAATCAGGTTTAAACACTCGACACTTCTTTGCACAATCGAAGACACTCACTCTCTCGCAGTAGTCCCCACTAACTTCCGACAGCAACCCCACAATATGTGCATTGCACCGTAACGGCAAACCATTATCATACGGACAGACAGTTATTTTGTGGTCAGAATTGACAGTAATCTTAATATACAGCGGATGCATAGTAAGATTCGTCACCGTCTCTCCAACCCAGGTGTCATAAATGTTGAACTCTTTATCTCTTTTGTTGTGAGTTATGACACACGAGTCGCCATTGTAGATCTCCAACGGAGGAGGGTGAAATCTAAACAGAGCATTGGTTATGCCAAAGACCTCTTGAACATCACCCTTAAGTTCGATAATAGATACATCCAATCTTTCCGTGCTTGACAAAGTGCTCTTCGTGTCTAATCTGATTTTTTCCACCCCAAGACAAGTTTTATTCTTATCCTCTTCACTGAGGAATTCTGTGAAATGGGAGTTCGGGAGAACACACAAAAGTACTTTTGGAAACAAGACGACTGGAAAGCGAGTGGTCATGCAATAACGATCTTTGATGAAAATACAGTTGGATATATGGAGCATTGGCTCCTTAAAAGTGTATGTTCTCCGCATCACGGACATAATAGGACTGGCCCATATCGGGCCTAAAGTGAACAAAAGACACCAAATTCGGAAGCGCATTTTGAATTCAGGGCGTTTTATCGTACAGTGACGTAAACTAACGCGATAAATATACCTTAGTTTTGAGTTTGATTTTGAGAAATGAGAAAATATGAAGTCAAAATTCGTATTTAAATCGGATCTAAAGCAATAAAAAACGCTATCCTTTTGAAAATCCAGAAAATTTGTATCGTTGGTATAATATATTTTGTTATTATTAAGTTGGCGCACACGAATTACCAAAATTATAATTTTGGTATTTGTGGTTTTTAACTTTCTTCCTTAAAAGCTGGGATGAGTGCTTCCATTTCGATATTTAAACATAGAGCTAAATGAAACCCATGCTTCTTTTCATTTTCATATCCATTTGTTTTTATGTTTATACTTGTTAATCTTTTTAATTCTTTTTTCAGGAACAAAGTTCATGGTCTATTTTAAAAAATAAATGAAAAAAACTGTACCGTAAAGGTAGAGAGAATTTTGTTGACCAGTGATTTTCTTTCAATTATTTCAAAGACACTTTGTATGAGGAGGTATTTTTTAATATTATAATTCAAGCGGTAAGCTCAATAAAAAAGATAATAAGAATAACACTACTAATAAAGATAAAAAACTTCACACTTTTGGTTAACAAAAACAATATTTTTACTGAAACCGAAGGTTTGTATTTTGCAATTCAAGAGCAAGTAATATATACAGGGTGTTTCACATAATTTTACGAGGCCTGCGCCTGTAAAATGCAACCAATAATACATATTCCAATACGAACTCGATTACAAATTTTGAAAAATTGGATAATCTTCTCTAGTTTGTTCACCCTTTCAAAAATTACGTTTTTAGTTAGTTAGTGATTAAAATAGATAAACTACAATCATATTTATGCCGTCTCTTGATAGAACAAATGATAATTGTTTCTGAAAAACTRCAGTTTATGACTAACAATGAAACAGTGATTAGTTTGACAACTACTGTCATGGGTTTCCAAAAATTAAATAATTAAATGTATTTTTTGTATCCAGTGTTCTGTGATTTTTGTATATTTGGGTGCGTACATTAGGCGCAAGCCTCATAAAGTTACGTGAAACACCCTGTATAGTTAATACAGAAAATTATAAAAAAATATTATTAAAAGCAGTAACGACGATCTTGTAGACTAGTTTAAATATAACTGCTACTAGACAAGACATTATTCTTATTTCTGAAACTGAAAAACAAGAATTCTTGATTGACGTTATTGCAGTTCCAAACACACACAATATCCAGAAGATTCATCAAACAAACATTCCTAAATACATAATCCTGGTCAATAAAATTAAAAAGATGTGGCAAAATAATACAAATAACACTAGTTTACACAATTTGTATACCTGAGATGAAAGTTATATATTTTTTAATAGATTTTGAGGCACTGAGTTCATAATCCACTACGTCACGTCACGAAAAAATTTATTGACAAAAATATAAGAACCGCTAAATAACAAATTTAAAATGAGTTACTTTACTTTGTTTTGTTTTACTTTTCTGGATAGTGTCCCTTATAACAATATATTTTTATCCCAAAATCCTTTGTGCTGATCTTCGAAAATTATCATTCATAACAAAAAACTGTTAGGTAATAAAAAAATGTAATGTTTTTTTGCTTGATTAAAGTTAAATTAACATAAAAGTAATAAATTGATTAAAGATATATTAAATAACAAGTTATTATTTGTAAACTAGTRTAATAAATCAATAATAATAATTTAAATAATATTAGTTCATTAAGTTGCGAAACGGCATATGACGCTAGATTGAGAAATTTAGGGGGTTTTCTTAGATTAGTCTCTTTTTAAACAATTCATCAACATCGTGCCTGACTACAGGTCAGTGGAGTGTGATGGTTGTGGAAATCATTTACCAGAGAATTATGATTTGTATAATTGTCTGCCAAATGGTTTCTCTTCTTTTGCCTATAAGGAAAATAATAAACAAATGTGAGATTGTTACATTTTTTAAATTTATCTCTCGGAGACTTAACACTTAAAATTAGTTTCAAAAATCGTCTAATTTCTAATGTTATCCTTAGTTATCCTAAAAAAACTTTTTTAGTGGTGCATAAAAAATGGATACCAAAAAAATATCGATATGCGAAACAGTTAGAGCCAGTCATACATACAAGTTGCACTAATTTACAAAAACTTAACGGGGAAAATACAACCCAAACCCTAGAGCTTGAGGTATTATACGAAATTTTTTAGTAACTAGAGGCAATTGAAGGACAATAATTATCATTGTTAATATTTATTTTTAAAATTACTAAACCACATTTTAAATAACAAATTCCATGGTCTGAGTTTTAACTGTGGATGAAATATATCATAATTTACATTTTCTAGTCTCTTTAAAAACGTAAACGTCGCCACTGCTGGCAACAAAACACTTCGTCCTTCAGAAGGAACCTTCTCTTGTAAACTTCGTGCTTTCATCAAGTGCTGATGAGCCCTCGTTGCCACTTCATAAACACAGTCACTTAAAGATTTCGTCGATTTGCGACGAAGTAATTCTTCTTGACTCACGTTATTCTTGACTAGAATTGATTGAGGTAGTGGTATAAAATTTAAATTTTTACATTGCGGTACACTTCTGAAAATTTAATAACGCTGATTATGTTATGTTGTAAACAAATGCAATATTCACCGCAAATGTTGCACAATTCCTTGCGCTTTTCCCAAATGAGATGCCGCGTGATCTGCATTAACATTTCTTACATCACAACCCTCCAGGATTAAATAGTACACGCTTGAAACGGATCGTTCTGAATATGATTCCATATCTTCCAACTTTTGAAAAGAGTTCAAATTGAAATGTTCTTTCCGACAGAGAATAAGGTTTTTCAAGTGTCGTTTAGATAATTTATTCTGGCTCACAGCCTAGAAAACAATCGCTTCTTTCAACATAAAAGATTCAAAATCTTATTTTTTTTACTTGCATTAAACAGTTCTATTGCTACTGGATGTCTGGGTACTTTGTCACAATTTCCCACAAAACATTTCTCTAAAGTATCTTCCCAAAACTGCATCCGCATGAAACCAGTCTCTTTGGTTGAAACTTGCTCAGCCACACGCGCAACTTCAACATTGAAACATCTAACAGCAAACGCACATGATCTGGATTTGCCTTTTAATAAAAGTAAACTGAGAAAATTTTCATAATCGTAACTCCTAAAAAAAAAACTTAATAAACTGCAACTGGTTGTCAACAAGGTTTTACTTTACTAAATTCATACAATAATCAGCCGTTGTTTGCGAACTGTTGTTCCTAAAAGCAATTAAACCGAAGTGCTTCCGGGTCATGCGAATTTTTTTAAACAGATTCATTTTTTCATAAAATATATTTTTATTTTCATCAAAAAAATTATTAGGTTAGTCAATCTTAACCTCACTTTGCCACATGACACTGACACTAATGACAGCTCAAAAATAAATAATCGTCGAGCTTTCCTATTAAATGTAAACAAATGTGACCCGCTATCGTATGTACTAACTCATTTTTGTGGTATACAAGGCTACAAAGTGCGTAAGTCCATTTCTAACAACACGTCTTTTCAGGTACTGAACATTTAAGCTTCTGTATCTTAGAAAAAAATAAACCATGGCTGCGACCTGGAACAATGAATATTACATCGCTTTGGAAGGAAGAGATTTACAAGCAAATGCAATGGCTGTTGATAATTCAGGAACTTACGTTTTACTAGCAGGGTATGCAACGTTATTCTCTTGTAAACATTGCTATCGTCTAAAATCTAATACAAGTCTTCCATCAGGCGGAGGTATATCGCTATAAGAAACCTAGATGAAGACTTGGAAGTTGTTCAAAAGTTCCCAAGACAGAGTAAATATGATGTTGGAGCGGCTGAATGGAACCCAACTAATCACAACCGGGAGCTTTGTGTGATATCAGTAAGTTACAGTAGCAACTACTCTTCCTATATCACCAAAATTTGTTTTTTTGAACAGAGCAATCAGCGATTAGAAGTCCTGACTTGGCGTTCGCAAGAGCTGATCCAGACCCACTCATTACGAGCCCACACTCGTGTCATAACCGATTTAAATTGGCACCGCAGCGACCCCAACCTCCTTGCCTCCTGTTCCGTCGACACATTCATCCACATCTGGGACTTGAGAGACGCTCGCCGTCCCTCACTATCCCTATCAGCAATAGCGGAAGCCTCTCAAGTGAGATGGAACAAACTCTCATCACACCTGCTAGCCACAGCTCACGACGGCGATATCAAAATTTGGGATCAGCGAAAAGGAACGGCTCCTGTGCAGTACGTCGCGGCTCATTTATCGAAAATCCACGGTCTGGATTGGAACCCTAACGTTGAGACGCAATTAGCGACTTCGAGTCAAGACAATACCGTGAAATTTTTTGATATGAATAATCCGCGACGGGCTGAGTATGTTTTGACGACGAATGCACCAGTGTGGAGGGCGAGGTTTACGCCTTTTGGGAATGGTCTGGTAACGGTGGTGGTGCCCCAGCTGCGACGAGGCGAAAATAGCTTGTTGCTGTGGAATACGGCCAATAGGTCGACTCCTATGCACACTTTTGTGGGACACAGGGATGTGGTTTTGGAGTTTGAGTGGAGGAAGCAAAGGCCGGGGTCGCCAGACTTTCAACTGATTACGTGGTCGAAAGATCAAACATTGTTAGGTACAATCTGCTTCAGAAGTAATGACACAAAACTCGGCTCTCGGGTAGGCACGTTCGACCGTTTCAGATGGGATGGAGCCGATGGAGAGTTGAGGAAAATTGATAAATCGTTTGCTCAAATTATTAAGAATTTTGAGTATGAGTAATCACTTATCGCATTTGACTTATTTTGAAAGGAATAAAATAATATTTGAAACGTTTCTTTAAAATTAAAAATTAATCTGATTCRTGGTTTTGATGTCTAAAGTCACCATTTCACATAATAATTAATTTATTGTTTTATTTACTAATAAATTTATTAATTAATGTAGAATTAATGTAGGGGTTGTTTACTATTTATCAACAGTAAAGGATTTCATGTGATTTTGGTGACATTTTTCACAGAAATCGAGTTCAGCCATGTCCGCAGTGTTTTATCCGTGTTTTAATTCAGAAATAGCGTAATCCGAATTACATTGTTATGTACTTTGCATTATTGTCAAATGTGATAAAAATTGCAAATTAAATTTGGGGCGGTTATTATCGTATCGTATAAGAATATCGTAAATTTCGAACTTAACCAAGTTATACCTTTGACCACTGAATGGCAAATTTTGACCATTTTGACAGAATGGAAACGGATGGTCTGCGGGCACATTGTCAACCTTTTCTAAGAAAAATTTGACAAAATTCATATGAAATCCTTTACCTGTGACCGTTTGCTATCTGATAAAACTTTCGAATAATAGACAGAAACAAAACAGTGAACAAGACCACCTCAACTTATTAATCTGTTAATTTTAATTTGTAACTGATGTGACATTTGTTCTTAAACATAACGTAAATGGCAACTTAATTCGAACTAGTTTAAAAGATTGAATTAAATTTTAATTCGCTTTCAGTAAATCAGCCCTAATATCATATTTATATAAAAGTTGGCGCTATTGGACAAATGTATACCGCCTTAGGGTGCTTAGGATTAACACTGGTGATACACAAACCCTCTGACTCATCTCAAACTTTTTCTCTGAAAACGTTGACAACGGGTTCAGCTGTGTCCGCTTTGCATTGTCAAACGTGAAATTAATCGTGAATTAAAATTTAATTTAAATTAGATGCGCTTTTAATCATTAATTAATTAATCGAGTCATGGTTTTAATTTCAAGCAAATATGAGAAAAAAACTATTCAAAACGCGAAGTCTCTTCTGAAGTCCCTAAATATTTGGCAGTTTTCAGGTCCAATAAAAATTCATCCGTTTAGGGAAATTTACAAATGAAACATATCTCAAAAATGTATACAAATGTTTATTTACAAACCAGTAGGTAATATATACACAATGAAAAATACATAATAAAAATTAAATAAAAAATAAATTATAAAATAAAACATTTAAATTATAAATCAAATTATATATACAAACAGCCTTAAGGACAAATTTTTGCCTGGGATAAACCCAACTCAGCGGCATAAGCCACCCTATAAATTTAAACCGTACTCCTTGACTTGGAATATTAGGAATTGATGTAAAAATTTTATTTGAAATGAAGCCACAACTCGAATTCTGTGAAAAATTTCACCAAAATCACATGAAATCCTTTACTGTTGATAAATAGTAAACAACCCGTAACTTCTACATTAATTAATAAATTTATTTTTATTAGTACATAAAACAATAAATTAATTATTTTGTGAAATGGTGACTTTGGGCATCAAAACCATAAATCAGATCAATTTTTAATTTTAAACAAACGTTTCAAATATTATTTTATTCCTTTGAAAACAAGTCAAATGCGATAAGTGATTACTCATAGTCAAAATTCTTAATAATTTGAGCAAACGATTTATCAATTTTCGTCAACTCTCCATCGACCCATCCCAATACCGGAAAACTGACAACTGCCGACCATCGGCTCCATCCCATCTGAAAACGGTCGAACGTGTCCACTCGAGAGCCGAGTTTGTGTCATTACTAATGAAGCACTGTGTGTACGTGAAGGCTCTTTATTAAAACTTTTGTTTTGTTCTCTTTTTTAGTCTGGAAAATCGAGCCGTTCCTTCAGAAGTTGTGCGGGCACGAACCGGACGAACCGCGTGAAGAAATCGCCATCAACAATGAGTCTTCCGAAGTAGTCAAAGTCAAGAAAAAAACCTCGCCCAAAATCCAACCCCTGCAGCAAGAATTCTCCCTTTTAAATGTCCACATCCATAACCTGGAGGTCACAGCGATGGATCCTGTAAGTCGGACTTGCACGGTCTTCGCCAATGTCAACAACTTTTCCGTTTACTTGCAAGTCTCATTTCCTAACGCTTATCCTCACGGTGTCCCTCCAACGTTCCAAATTCTGCATGAGTCCTCAGTCACGGAAACTGCAGGCTCCCAACTCCTCCAAACCTTGAACCATTTAGCCCAACAGAGAGTATCAAAAAATCGCACTTGTTTGGAGTCGTGTCTCCGGCAAATGGTAACGACACTAGAGCAACTGTCGACGGATTCGGAAAACGACCGAATATTCGATAATTCGTACACGGAACCGAACGTTTTCGGGGGGTATAACGACGCTTATATCCCCTTTCCCCGCACTTCGGGAGCCAAATTCTGTTCRGTGGGGATTTTGGTTTGTTTCGGACGCGCTCCACACACTAGGAGGTACTCGGGGAAGGTGGAGRCCACGACGCCGAGGGCGTTGTCGGCTTTGGAGGCGGTGTTCTCGAAGAGATCGAGCGATCATGTGACGGTGTCTGCGTATTATTATCAAAAGCAAAGATTGAGAGTGAAACACTCGAGGAATGCGTCAAAAGCGATAGTGCATGTGTATGATGTTTCGGGGTTGTTGCTCACGAATAGACAGTTGGCAGAAGAGTATATTTTGGATGGGGATATCGCCACGATTTGTAAACATAATGCRGCKAGTGCGGCCGTGGTTGGACGCTGGGATTTGGTCCAGGCTTGGACGTTAGCGGAACTTATAGCATGTACGCAGAATAAGGACGAGGAGTGGTATAATCATCCGTTTGGGAACCAGCTTTCGGAAGCCTTGTAAGCGAAACATTAACTATAACTTTGAAACTACAGTTRATTTACAGAATTTCACATTACGCCCAACATTCTGATATTCAGATGGCAGCCATGCTGTCATGYATATTTGGGAAAAATGAAGTCAACTATACTCACCAATCATCAAAAAAGTCCTTGAAATTTACAGTATGTCTCAAGTTTTTGTTTTATCTAGTCATGAATTTTGTTTTTGTTTTCAGAACGATACCTCTCCTTATCACACAATTCCCCCCATGGATCTACCGTCCGACGAATGGGTATTTCCCACATTAAAACACATGCGATCGACTTCATTGGACAGTCTTCGTTTAAACGAAATCAAAAACCTCATGCCTAACAAAAATCCGTCTTCATCGCTTTACGAATACTTCAAATTGTCATACGCTGAAATTCTTCACAGATGGGGTTTTTTATACAACCGTGCTGAAGTTCTTAAATACATGTGTGGGCCTCCAGAGCAACATAAAGGCGTTGAGTTTTTAACCGATTGTAAGAATTGTTTAAAACCGGCCAAACATTGTACGTGTAGTAATTGCAAAAAATTCTCYTTGAATTGTATTATATGCCATTTGTCTGTCAGGGGATCAGCGAATTGTTGCATCGTTTGTGGTCATGGGGGCCACACAAAGCATTTGAAACAGTGGTTTGAAAAACGCGATGTTTGTCCGTCAGGGTGCGGCTGTAGGTGCCTTACAGAGACAGCTACGATTTTTGCCACTTGAGAAAAAGACTTACCAGAAATCTATTGTTAAATATTTATTACAGTTTGTAAACTGACGTTTTAAGAAATAAATAATAGGCCAAGACATTCATTACCTTAAAATTTAAAAATGCATCAACCCGAAAAAAAATCTTTTAAATCCTTTTTGTAACGAAAGCACAGATTATCTGTGACGAAAGTATTTGTTTAGTTACTCGATGAGCACCAAAATGCGATTTTTGTCTTTACTCTCGTTTTAATCATTTGTTTAAATTTTTTGGATACATGGTAGATATTTTTGTTATCCATGTGAATTGTGACTAGCCAAAAATTTAAATCCAGCACTTTTAGTTTCAACTAACTAGTTTAAGTTAAAAGATTGTTTTGTAACTTAATTGTTTATTTTTTATTTCCTCGTAGTGAAAGTTTAAATAAAAAACTGTATTTCTTAATTTAGTTTTACAGTTCCCTGTATTTTTTAATTTATTTTAGAACCTCAACTCAGTAAAAATGTAAGAAGTAAATTGAAGAGAGGCAGTATGTCACTTTAAAACTTACACATTAAAAAATTGCTTGTACAACATAGTAAAACTGCTATTTGATTAAAGTATCGGCTAACGTTTTACTTCGAACTACATCACCGGCCTTTGAAATTAAATTACTATTTTTCCATTGTGCGATACAATCTGAACTAGTCCTAAAATCAGCTTGTAATTTCTCCCAGATTTTCTTCTTCGGATTAAGGACAGCTTCAGGAGTCCCATTTTCATGGTTTTCAAAAACTAACTTATCTCCAGGATTACAACTTTCAGGAGGGATAAGTGTTTCAACTTTTTTTGGTTCATCCCTAAAAAAAAACAGTCAGAAGAAACTTAAACTAGACTTGAATCATTTACGTAGATGCACACAAAACCATTCCTGTGGACTCAATTCCTCTCATTTTCGACGGTTTTAAATTACAAAGCAGCACAACCATGCGATTTAACAAGTCTTCTATGGAATAGTAATTAACGAGGCCGCTTATAACAGTCCTTGGCGTTTCCTGTCCTACGTCAATCTTGCTGACATATAAAGCATCAGCATCTGGATGTTTAGAAATTTCCACAATTTTTCCCACTCTGATATCCAGAACATGTGGTTTAATCTCATCGTCCGCTTTCCTTTGGACCGGATACGCCTTTTCAGCCAGTTTCTTCAATTCAGGATCTTCAAACGTCTTCCTCACGGGCTCCAACAAYCGATTTAGATAAATTTCGATACTGGCTTTGAGATCACCAGGATGCACTTCTTGATTCGCAAACGCCGTTTCCAGTTGTTGAAACGATTCGAAATGAATGTCGCCACCATAGTCAGCCTTGCGAGGAACCACGAATTTTTCCTCGGGTTTGAGAAGAGGAAAAATTACGTGTTTTGCAAACGACAAAATACCGTTATTTTCGACATTTCCAGGTTCGCAGAATGCTTTTTTGAGTTTTTGTTTCACGGCTGCGGGAGAGTCAAGCAAATCGATTTTGCTGTCTTCTTCCGAAGATGACATTTTATTACCAGTTAAACCTGGAACTAAAATAAAATTTCAATAACAGCGGGTTGTGGAAAAATCTGGAACCAACCCATTGGGTTCATCAAATGTGCCCGTTTTTGGTAGCCCAACTGTGGGAGGTATTTTTCCGCAAAAGTGAAGATTTTCCTCTGGTCAACACCACCAAACTGGGCGTCCACTTTTAGGTACTCTTCATCGAGGGCTTGCAAACCGGGATATAAAAGTCCACTGACCAAAGGATGATCCACTTGTTTGACCACTTCAGCGCCGGCTTTCTTCGCATCATGTTCAGTTATAATCGAACTCAACCTGTACACATCCAGAGTGTATTCCTTGGACAGTTGGTAGTTGGTCCCCTTTTCGAAACGGAGTTTTTCCAACGGAACACCGATTGATTTTAGCATTGCTTTGATCGTGTGTTCATAATACTGCACTCGGAGGGCCAGTARCTCCCACGGCGCTTTCATATTGTCTAAATAAGCATGAAGGTCGGCGAAAAGAATGGTGACTTCAACACCAGCTCGCAAAAAGTCGGCAATTTTTGACATGGGGACAAAATAGGCGATGTGGGGTTTCCCCGTTGTTGCCGTTCCCCAGTAGATTTTTAAATCGCGTTGCGACAAAATCGTTTTTATTTTACTTTCGCCCAAGACTTCTTGTAAATTACGAGTTATCAAATYGTACTTTTGCTCAGGAGAAAGGGGAGTATTATTTGCCATTGTGAAAATAAATCTGAAATAAATTCAAAAATAAATTTTGAACAGTCCACGTGTATTAGTTGTTTTTACACGACTAGTAACAGTCTTTATCCAATTTTATAATGAAAACAGTAATTTGTCGAACAAATAAGTGAGGTTAAGTAACACTGACATCTTGCACAACTTTTAACAAAATTTATGATTAAGACACCTGGAAGACACTACAAAGTGCGTTGTAACAATTTGAATTTAATTTAAATCTTTATTTAATTTAAAAAATAACCACCAAGACGATTTAAAACAAACCACATGTGTTTAAATATGTTGATTTTAAAGGGATCCTTTCATGTCACAACTAACAGTTTTTGTGTGCAAACTTCATAATTATTATAACAGAAGTGTATTCCTACTTACTTGAAGTCAAGGGTGAATTTCTTGTAATTTCTCTTTCACATGTGCTACCACTGACAGCTGTCACGAATCACGTTTGACACGTGCACACGCGCGTAATTTTAGTTTGCGTTTGCACAAGGTTGTGACGTTCTGTAAATTTGATCATCTAACTCACAGACATTACAGAAACTTCTAATTTTTGTCAACATAAACTTTTTTGTACATGTTGTATTAAATAAACACACAAGTGTCTAATTCTTTATTAAATTTTACGTATCGTAAAACATCGCGAAGAGAAATAAATACAATTTTGATGGGAATCATTGGGAACATCCTATTTTTAATAAGTAAAAACCGACCACAGTTAGGTTTCGTGTCGTAAAAACAAAATATTAATCTTTTGTTATTTAATAACTCTACTGAGAGAAAAATTATGAATTAACGTAAGTATTGTGTAAAAGTTATAAACATTGTGATTGGGCCATTTAAGGTCGGCCATTAAGATAATGTTAAAAACCAATCACGTTACATTTTTTGGATTCATTCAAAAATTTTAAATTGGATATGATTGGGCCGTTTTAGGTCGGCCATTAAAATCATGTTAGAGACCAATCACCTTAGATTTTTTGGATTCATTCAAAAATTTTAAATTGGATGTGGTTGGACCGTTTGAGGTCTGCCATTAAAATAATGTTAGAAACCAATCAGCTTAGATTTTTTAGATTCATTCAAAAAGTTAATTTGGATGTGACTTATTCTTYTCCTATATTCAAACTTTTAATGAAAATTACACTACCCAACAAAAATTTTAATTTTTTTAATGTGATTGATCTATTGACACCTGTATCAGGGTACATTAACATCTCTAATCACGAATTTGATAAGAAAAATTCTCCATCACGCACAGATTTTAAGTTACAGGAAAATATTTTTCTCAAATTAATGTTATTTGTGACTTTTATTGTCAAAATTTTTGTCCCTTTACTAAATAAATGTAAAAAAACATATATTTTTTTTTATAAGATCATCAGTATCATTAAACAGATAAGTATAAAAAAATGTCAAATGTCAAAAAATAAATGTCAAAATTTTTTAACAGATAGAATTTTTTAAACATTTTTTTCATGTTCCTGGTATCTTACCTTACTTGAAATTTTTTTCTGGGGCGCGAGTTCTGGCGCACTCTGTATTAGCAGGATTGGAAGTTACATCAAATTAAGTAATTAAAAGCAGTTATTTTTATTCGTTTAGCTATTCAAAAATTGTTGCTCCAAAAAACCCCCTCAACTTCCCTGTACTTCCCGGTTGTGTTTTTAGTGTTGCCTCATTACCAGGCGCTCATTTATGAAAGTAAAGGAACCCACACATTCTTCGATATTTTGCAATTACCTGGAGCTTAGAGGTCTTCGGCAAAAGAATGAACACCTACAAGACATTCACCCATACATGCGCTTGCGCATAACATAAGTAAAAGGAATTCAACTTCATGAACTGTCAGTTCTTGACCGATGGTTGTGAGGTATATACAAAAGGGTTCTATTTATTTATGTCATAACAAGAGTGCAAAAATTTATTTTTCATGAAATTTAAAATGTAACACATAATTATGAACGTGATTTTTATGTTTGGTTGATTTATATAAAAGTGTAACTTCATAATTCGTAAAAGGATACACCACATTTAATTTCGAGTAAGTAGGAAGATTTGTATAAGTTTTTATCACCTTTTTCAATTTTATATCGAGCTAACAGTATACATACATTTATTAATAAACAGGTGCGAAAATGTGAAAAAGTGTTATTAACTGTGTCATGTCTTAAAAACTTTCTTTTACTACTAGATCTCCATTCCTAAACTTTTTTACAAATTGGTTCAAAATTTTAATATCGTAAGTTTTCAATGTTTCATAGCCTGCGGTATCATTGAAATCACCATGCATTAAAAGTGAAATTCACAAATATTTCATTGCTAAATTTTTTACATCTAAAATATTTAATTTCTTTCACAAACTGACAACTAGAACTCAGTGAAAGTCTCCAATAAACATAACAGTTGGTCAAAAGAGCACTAAAATTTCACTAAAGACTTTGCAAGACTTTGCAAGGATGGTCAAGTAGTAACCGCAAGCTCTCTCTAAAGTAGCGTGATACAAACTGAATCATGTTTAATTCATAAACTTGAAGATTAAAACTATTATAATTAGACATTGCGGCATCAGTTATTATAACTGTAGGCGTATCTATATTGTACCGTAATAATAAATTTCGTAACAGGATTTTGCGTAGATAGAGTATACTGTAAGAATTCGGTGTTAATAAATCCATAATTAATTTTTAACGGAAATATCACTTGGTCGCCCTTAGTTTTGATAGCACAAATACGAACAAGCAAATAGATTATTCAACTTTAGTAAACTTTCTTCATTATGTCATTACAGTCTTTTATAAAAAGTTAAGGTAGGTGTTACGTCACTTTTTGTAAGAATTCAGGCTTGATATTTAATGTCTGATGATATTTATAAAGTTTGTGAAGAGTTGGAAACAATTTGAAACAAGAATTTYGATTGGTGTTGGATAAAACATCTAATAAAAAATTAATTTAATTCTTAAATGATCATTTTAACTGTGTTGCAGAATTTGTTGACACATACATGACCTAGAAAAGTCACTCAAATTAATAATATTAACCATATGATTCAATAAATTTTAGATATCTTAATCTAATCGACAAATATTAATTTATAAAGTGCCTATACTTATTTATTAAATAGAGTCCGTTTGAAGATTTCTACATTTTTTATATTCTTCTACACTCATTGTAGTGAAATGTCCACGATTCTAGTACCTACTCTAGATAAACTGTATTATTGGTTCAGTGAGACTTTGACACTAGGTATTTCATTTTTTTTTTCAAAATTCTAACTTCATTAAAATTGCAAGAAATGTAAAACACATTTTTTTCTTACAATAAATAGTGACAAAACTTCAATTTAAAATTAACATCATGGTCAAAGAGGCTAGAGAAATCTTATGGTGCTAGCGAAACGCTATGTATCCTGTTTCAGCAACTTTAGCCGTTTCAACCGCAATGGTTTAACATTTATCATTTATTTACAGTAAAATAAATGGTTTGTGGTAAGATAAAATGAGCATAAATGTTAAAGAAAAACAGCCAATAGTACAGACTTTTAATATTACATTTATTGAAGTCATCTATAATTTTTTCGTTTTTCGTATTTTTATAATTTTAGACAAAGTTACAGCAAATAAAATACTTTTTAAGAAAAAACTGTAAAACTTCAATTGTAGAATTAATGAACGTTCAATGAAATATTTTACTTTCTGTTCTAGTGCAAAAAATGTTTACTTTCTTTACTTTCTAGAACAATACCTATTGTCCATTTTGAACAAAAATGATGCATTGAATTTTTGCCCTATATTTAATCACCGAAGAAGCTGAATGTAACCTAAAATTGTATCAATAATATCATAACAATGAATCAACTTGAATTTATCGTTACCGATCTGTATGAAATAAGGTGAAAGTGGGTCACTGTGTTTTATTCCGTTATAAGATATCGTTACGTTTGTTTGAAATTGGCAAATAACGTATTAAAACTTAACTAGTTCAAAAATTTTGGTTAGTTAAAATTCTTAAAATAAATATTTTTTAAATATCTAAGCATTGGTAATACCCAAATGTGATTCACCTGTTAATCATGATGACAACGACAAACTTATTTCCGATTCTCCAAACGTTTTTGGGTCCAATACGAAATGAACCATGTAACACTTGGTTCAAACTGGAGTGGTATTTGTGGTCAAATAACAGATTTCTTATTTCCCAAGGAATTCGAAATGCGTTTACCTAGTTAATTTTTGTTGCAAGCCAAGTAAATCAATAAATTAAAAAAAAAAACACATAAGTGAGAAGTTTTCTAATTCCATTTCCCAATAAGAGTAGAAACCAATAAAATGATTTCACTATCGATGAGTGTCACAATTCATAATAATTGATCCTCAAAACCTTGCAGCTTCTGTCATTTGATTAAATCAACCATATCACAGGAAGAATCGCATTTCCACAATTTAAGACGTAAATAATACATTGAAAATATAAACTGGCTGTTAAAAAGTTGAAAACCATGTGAAATTTTGTCTACAGACCGCCGAAAACAATGAACATTTATCGTTGTCCTAATTCACACGAAAACTTTTTAATAATAAGATTTTAACTTGTTCTCAACTACCGGCAGTGAAAAGTTCACTAAATTGTTACACTTTCGCGACTAACATTTGCCGAAAATATATTTCAMAACAAAATTCAGCTCTATACAATTTTGGACTACATGCAAATTAGCTAGAAAACACGATGGTGTAGTGTCACCTCCTGGGATACAAGGAGGAATGACCCCGACTAAACGACCTCAAGATCATTGCAGAAATTTTATGTGATGGTCGGTGACAGTGTTGAATACGAGAATAGAATCTTTTATAACTTAATCAAGCTGATATATTCTTACTGATTTTATGTTTTTACCTTCTATAAAATGAAAAGAAATTTAGAAACTCTTCACTTTCTTATTGATTTATTGATCTTTAACACAACACAAATATTATTCTGCATAAATATGTTATATTTCGTTTTTACCTTTACCTAATTTCTTAATGATTTATGTTATGTTAAGAATAAGAAATTGCAGTTATTCGGATTTACTGAACATTGGATTTAAAACACCGTTCGCCATCCCACTTCTGACGCCTATGAGTCACTTTCTGATTAAAACAATAAAAAATTACGTAATTACGGAAACGGTATTGATGTATCAAGGAATCAAGAATCAGATTTTTTACACAGGGACGTCCGTCATTTTAATACAGGGTGTCCCAAGACAAATTACATAAAAATATCTTAAATATTGACCTCGAAACTCTTAGCTGGAACAGCCTGTATTTGTGTAAAGTCGAAGCAAGTACAAAAAGTATAAAATAAAAATTCCCTTAATAATCCTGCAGCTGCGAGGAACTTGACATGTGTTATTGTAAAGATATTTAAATAAGGCACCCCATGTAGTTGATATCCGCAGTTCAAAAAAGAGCAAATAGCATGCAACAGTCGGGTAGACCATAAATAAAACATGTAATCAGAAAAATAAAACACAGTACGCACAACCGGGTTAAAAAGGTGGCTGGAAACGTTATGAAGGAAGTTTTAGATTTTTTAATAAATCGAGTAAACGCTCTAATGATATTATTTATCATTCTTATGATATTTGATGTAATTACAAAGTTTATTAGCTATAAGTATTAGTAATAAAAATTGATACAAACGTTCGATGCAAATCTAATTTATATGAATGCCGAATTATTTTTGTCTATTTATTTCCTCATATACTTACTTAAATATAGGCATGTTAGTTGTCATATACGGTGTACTTTCACTTTTTTCTATAAATATAACTAGTTATTCTTGTATATCATTAGCAAATACCTTGTAGTGACGTAGCGTTTAAAAGTTGAAATTTTTTTCATAATTCGTGGATAAATAAATCTGTAAAATAAAACTATTATATTTTCTTAACATAATAACAGTGAAAGAAATTAATCGGAATGACCTTTACCTTCATTGAAAAGCTATACACACCTAGTAATTTAAAACAATTTTCTGTAAGAATTACCACTTGGTTTAACGAACTATATTTTAATTCTTCAAAAACAAACTATAAGTTAAAATTAAGATTAAAAAATAAACCTAAGTGACAGTTCTAAAAAATGATAGAATAAACATTACGAAAAACAGGGTAGACAATGTCCTAAGAAAAGACAAAAATAAAAATTTATTACATATACATTATTATTAAAAAAATAATCAGTATTAAAACATCACTTAAATTTATGTGTAAGTATTGCAATGTGCAATTTAGTGAAAACTGACGTTTGATAACCGAACCCTCTCAATCCATACATTACAATTTATTGAATTAAGAAAAACCTGTTATTAAGCTAAAATCAAAATTAGCAGGTTAAATAATAATATGGTATATGTTTTTGCCATAAAAGAGAGCCGCGTAAAAAAAAACACTGGTCCGAGGTTGAAAAGGTTTAAGAGACGTTGGAACTGAGCTTTAAAATATTAAATTAACAAAAACAAAAACTCTGCTTAGGTATATGTATAATTAAACTTTCAATGCATTAAACGAAATTTTCATATTAGAGTGGCTCATTATAATATAAATCACTGATTTATTATTTATTGCTAAGAAAGTGAATTTAACATTTTAAATAATTCTACTCATATGGACCACAATGGTAGGTAAATGTTGCTCAGTTCAGTGAACTTTTGTGGTGACTGTAATTTTATTATGATTTTATAATTAATTTAAGCTTGATAATAGTTCACACTACAGGTTATAAGAAATTCTGAAATAAACACTATTTTTATTCTTCAACATTTTTCAGAAAAATAAATTTTCTATTTCAGTATTACTCCCCAAGAAAGACAAGAATTATTGTGTCATATGCCCACATGATATAGTTAGATGAAAAAGTGTTTGTAATTGTCACATGTTAAATGTAATCTGATTTTGATGGAGAAAATATCAAAAACAAAATTGCGTTTCTTCTAAAGTCTTCTGTATTGTACACTTTTTTTAATTTTAAAATTTAATTTTCTTAGTTATTACTTTATATTGAAGAATTGTTAATTTTTGTCGAACACTAAAAAAATAAATCATTCAACAACAAAGAAATGTAGGCTTTAAAAAATGTGAAGAAATTTTCCCTCTCGATTATCTAGTTCTGTTATCTAACTATGTCATATGTGAAAAAATGTGTTTGCAAACGTGTTAAAAAAAATTAAATCTAAATCTATGGTCACTTCTTCAACATTAAAAAAAGTTATTCATATGCATCTTTACGCAGCAAAATTTGTTAAAATCTCAGCTTGAATACCTAAGTGATACTTGGGAAATAAGAAGCAAATTCATAAACTTTTAAAATGTATTTTTAGGAACAATAACATTTAAGTATCCTGATCTTTACACCCACATATCTTTTATCATAATGGTATCTACCTTCGCCTACAATTTTTCTAAATTACGCGAATTATTATCAAATGATCCATAAAAAACCGCTTTTATTTCAACAGTGACAATATTGAACTTTCGCCGTTGACTTTTCGGGGGACCAATGTCCTCTAAAATTGATTTTATCGACTGAACAAAGACAAAATGTTAAAACAAAAAGACCATATCCGCATTGGCTGCGTACATTTATTTATCATGCCACTATTGGGTGCGGCTATATAGATTGCCTTGATTTCTTTCCTTCTTATAGCGTAACAAATACTTTGACCAATTCTATAAATTGTAAGGCGATACCCACCCATTTTCTCATAAATTCTAATGTAAAAATTCGTATAGTTGGTAACAAAAATAGCGAAAATGTGTTTAGTGGAAACACATTAAAACGACATTATTTCCTAATCTAAATGTTGTAATAAATTTTGTTTTTCAATGTTTTCAGACTCCGATTAAAATTCCTGGTTCCTGTTGTTTTATTGATCATTAATTTTATTAAAAAGAACCTAAAGCTAATAAAGGGATGATTCAATTCGCAAATATTTTTATTTCTTTGTGTCATTATTTTTTATTTATTTTCCAGACATGACATCCGGGGGGCTGCGAAATGATACATACAGTGATGACAATTTCTCGGATGACGAAAGTTCCCCTCTTACCGAAAATATTTATGGAGGAAGGTGAGATATTGCAAAATGAAGTGTTTCATCTAATCCTTGCAATTTTTACATTTGAATCATGAAAATGTCATTTTGTGTGAACTGGTAGCGATTCGGATATATACTTATACATAAATAATATAAAATCAAAAGTAAAATGCCAAGGAAAACGACAATTTCAGTTGTCTGCACCGAAATGTTAAAACGCTTAGACAAAGACGTACGCATGGTTACACAATGTGCTAGAACAGGATCGAGTTTAACAAAAATTATGAAAGTTAACCTTTCACTTTGCTATAATTAAAACTGGATCTACGAACGACCTTGCATTTTCCTGGGAGGTTTTGTTCCGTGATGAGTTATTATTAAATTAATAGCGGCCAAATTTCTATTGTGTTTTCTTCTCACAAGACTAGTGTTTTTACTTTTTAATTGTTCCAAATTTAAGTACTTATTGAAAAAATATACACAGATTTTTTTATTTGCGTAGATGATCCTAGTAAAAAAATCTTTTGTTGTCATTATTTTACAAATAAAAATTTGCTGCAAAAAATACAGCGAAATATGATTTATTTGCAGCACCAGAACTGTTCAAGAAACCAAAGGATGGGACGTGTTCAGAGACCCCCCGATCAAAGAAGAATCGGGTTCGATGGCGAACCAAAAATGCCTCGAAATCACCGTAAAAATACTCAAAATCGTAGCTTACCTTGTAACTTTCGTAATAGTCCTCGGCTCAGGAGTCATATCAAAAGGAACTCTTCTCTTTATGACATCCCAACTGAAACCAGACAAAGTAACAGTTTACTGTAATAGAGACTTGGGACGAGAAAAACAATTTATAGTAAAACTACCATCGGCGGAAAGAGTAACATGGATGTGGTGCTTAATTTTCGCCTTCTGGGTCCCCCAGCTTGGCTCCCTTTTCCGGTCCTCCCGAATGTGTTTCTTCAAATCGTCAAAAAAACCGTCTTTTTCACACTTCTTAATCGTTTTCTTCATGGAAACGCTTCACACCATCGGAATCGCCCTTTTGATATTTTACATTTTACCAGACTTGGATGTGGTCAAAGGGGCCATGTTGACGAATTGCATTTGTTTCATTCCGGGAGTTTTAGGTTTGCTGTCTCGGAGCAATAAAGAATCTCAGAGATTTCTCAAAGTTATAATCGATTTGTTTGCAATTGCCGCTCAAGCCACGGGATTCGTCGTTTGGCCCATCATTGAACAAAGGGCCGATCTTTGGATAATCCCAATTGCCATCTTCCTGGTATCACTCGGTTGGTGGGAGAATTACATATCCAGACACTCCCCAATCCCATTTATTAAAAAGTTGGGGAAAATCAAAGAGAATCTGGAGCAATGTCGGTATTTTATATACATGTTTGTCTCAGTTTGGAAATGCTTGTTGTTCTTTGTTTCCGTCTTGTTCATTATTTTAGTCAAAGAAGGAGAAGTTGCATTCTTTTTCACCGACTTTTCGGAAGGTTTCAGTGCTCACCAAATCCAAGTCTTGGAGATCAAACCAGTGTTAGGAGGGACTTCCCTCCCTGACATTTCCGAAATAATCCCAACCGGGGACGACACTACAATCACCTCCAATGACATGACTGCCATTTATGTGCTACTCCTCAACGTTTCCTCCTCATATTTCGCCTACATCTTCGGGAAATTCGCTTGCAAAATCATGATTCAGGGCTTTTCGTACGCTTTCCCCGTCAATTTGACAATCCCCGTTTCAATTTCGCTGTTAATCGCGGCTTGTGGACTCCGAAACGGTGATCCCTGTTTCTTCCACGATACAATCCCTTCTTATCTATTCTTCGAGAGTCCTCCAGTCGTCTTCTTGAACGATTTTATCTCTCATCAACACGCGTGGATTTGGCTTTTGTGGCTTTTGTCCCAAACGTGGATCACTCTCCACATTTGGACCCCCAAGTGCGAGCGTTTGGCCAGGACTGAGAAGCTGTTTGTGACTCCGATGTACGAGGGGCTGCTTATTGATCAGAGTCTGGGGATGAATCGAAGACGTGACGATGAGGCTGATGTCAAGACTGAGGATTTGGATGARATCCAGAAGGAGAAAGGGGATGAGTATTACGAGACCATTTCGAATCACACGGACGCTTCCTCCGCCAAAGCGGTCAAAAATTCGGATCATATCACACGRATATATGCCTGTGCTACCATGTGGCATGAGAATAAAGAAGAAATGATAGAGTTTTTGAAGTCGATTTTACGCTTGGATGAAGATCAGTCGGCGAGGAGAGTGGCTCAGAAGTATCTCAGGGTGGTCGATCCTGATTATTACGAATTCGAAAGTAAGTTTTATCAAGTGGCAAAGTTTTTTCTTAAAACGGAAATTATCATGTCAAAATTTTGGTGAGAAAATTGGTAGCAATTGCTCAGAAAGGTTGTTATAAATAGTTATAGTTTTTAAATTTTGTGGACTAGAAAGAGTTATTAACAAATACCGAAAACAAACAGCTCTACATGTCGTCTAAAGATAGAATCTGGTGTTAGCTTGAGAAACAAATTGCAAATAAGCACAATATACACTGGTCTCAAAAATTAACCAGACAACTAAAATTTTGCGATTTTTCACATTGCAATATTTTTGTTATTCTTTGTCAGATTTCGATGAATTTTTGTTTCGTTTAAAGAAAAAACTTTGTAGATAACATTTCTAGTTTCTAAATGTGATACCCAAAAGACGAAAGCATTGTTTTTTAAATTATTTTTTTATTGAGCTGTAGTGTGCGACAGAGACAAACTTAAGTTTTTACTGATTTCAGATTATTGTCCATTAATTTTTCAATTATGTAAGTACCACATTTTCCATAACTTTAATTCTTGAGACATGAGAGGTATAAATCTTCAAAAAAAGCATTATATTTCCAATTTCAATGAATGTGCGTAATAAGTGAGCCGAATGTGCCAAAACGTCAAAATAGGCGCATGGAAGCTTCCAATAATTAACCGTTTTACTTGTTGTAATCCTTTGAAATTTCAAGTTTTTCAGAGAAGCAATAATTTTCGGTTTAACTACCTTTTTATGTAGCCTACTTTCTGAACGAATATTTAGTAACATTAGAAAAGCAACGTCTTTTTCAATGCTTTGAATTTCTGGGGCATCAGAAGATAAAATTTTGAAACAAATTGGTCCATATTCAGAGAAGAATCTGAAATCAGAAAAATCTTTAGTTTGTCTCTGCCGCACCCCAGAATAAAAAAAACAGTAAAAAAACAGTGCTTTCGGCTTTTTTTATTTACAAGACAAAATTAGAAATTAAATTACAATATTCTGCAAAGTTCGTTCTTTAAGCCGAACCAAAATTTATCAAAATCCGACAAAGAATAACAAAAATATTGCAATGTGAAAAATCGCAAAATTTTAGTTGTCTGCTTTCACACTTGTTTAGATTTTACAAATTTATCTTCGTTTAAAAAAACGGAATTTTTTACTAGAATCAGAAAATATGTCCCGATTTCAGCTCATATATTCTTCGACGACGCCTTCGAAATCTCCGACCACAACGACGACGAAACCCAGGTCAACCGTTTCGTCAAACTTTTAGTCGCAACCATCGACGAGGCCGCTTCTGACGTGCACCAAACCCACATGCGCATCCGCCCCCCTAAAAAAATCCCAACCCCTTATGGGGGCCGCTTGGTGTGGACCCTCCCCGGAAAAACAAAAATGATCGCCCATTTGAAGGACAAAATGAAGATAAGACACCGAAAGCGCTGGTCGCAAGTGATGTACATGTACTACCTCTTGGGTCACCGACTCATGGAACTTCCTATTTCCGTCGACAGGAAAGCCGTGATCGCCGAAAAYACGTATCTTCTAACTCTAGATGGCGACATCGACTTTCAACCATCAGCTGTGTTACTCTTAATCGACTTGATGAAGAAAAACCGGAATCTGGGGGCGGCTTGCGGACGAATCCATCCTGTGGGTTCCGGCCCCATGGTGTGGTACCAAATGTTCGAATACGCTATCGGGCATTGGCTGCAAAAAGCCACCGAGCACGTCATCGGATGTGTGCTTTGCAGTCCTGGATGTTTCTCGTTGTTTAGAGGAAAAGCACTAATGGACGATAATGTCATGAAGAAATACACCACTTCGTAATGTTACAAGTTTTTGGGGAAATTTTTCATTATTTTGGAGTGTTTTAGATCGTCAGAAGCCAGACATTATGTGCAATATGATCAGGGAGAGGACCGTTGGTTGTGCACGTTGTTGCTTCAAAGGGGCTATCGAGTCGAATATTCGGCCGCGTCTGACGCTTACACCCATGCTCCTGAAGGCTTCAACGAGTTTTACAACCAGCGGCGAAGATGGGTTCCTTCGACTATTGCCAATATTATGGATTTGCTAATGGACTCGAAACGAACAATCGAAATTAATGACAACATTTCTATGCCTTACATAGGATACCAAGTAAGTACTGAAGTACAACTTTTTCAAATAAGAACATAGAAGTATATTTTTTTAATAATTGTATCTATACAGGGTGTCCCAGCGTGTTGAAAAAGTCCATTAGTGACCTTTAAATGGTAAAATAAAAAAAATTAAAACGTTCATAAATACTAATCTAGTGCATCACTTAAAATTATTTTCAACCATGCAGCATGTCCTAAAAATAAGTTACGGTACAAACTTGTGTTTTTTTAAATGAAACACCATATATTTCATAGCATTTTTGGACGTAGCCTTTTAAAACAATGTTTTTATGCTGAACTTTTATTAGTCGAATTCGCTTAATTTTAGAAATAAGACGTTTTTTTTTGACAAAAACATGCACTTTTAAAAAAAAATTTACATAAAAACTAAGACAGCTAGAACAAATTTTTTCTTACTTCTTCAAAGAAGAAAGACAGAACTTAAAGCTGTAGCAATTTTTTTAGTGCTTTGCATTTGTAAAGATTAATAAATTAAGAAGATTGTCAAAAGTTTTCTAAATGTCTTGGTTTTTGTGTAATAAATTTTTTAAAAAGTGCATTTTTCGTCAAAAAAACCGTCTTATTTTTAAAACTAAGCAAAATCGACCAATAAAAGTTTAGTTTAGTATTAAAAACATTGTCATAAAAATTTACATCCAAAAACGCTAAGAAACATATGGTGTTTCATTTAGAAAAACACAAGTTTGTATTGTAACTTATTTTTGATACACGCTGTAYAGTTGAAAATAATTTAAGGCAATGGACTAGATTAGTATCTATCAATGTCCTATATACAGGRTGTTTAAAAAATGGCGCACTAAAACTATGGTACGCTGTCTAGAATCATTCGGTGAGTGAGGGAAAAATATTTAAAAAATTCTTGATGTTAAATTTGCACGTGGATGAAGGTTTATTTTATGGTAAATCTGGCAACTGGGTGTACCTACCTTAAGAAAATCAAGAGAGTTACCATGGAATAATTCAATTCTTAAATTTATTGTTATCTTTAAACGTTGCCGCTTCGATTTTTGCATAATTATCAATAATAATTTAGAAGAGGTAAATCGCCATTGAATGTTAAAGACGATAAATATTATTAATCCACCTTTGAAGATTCTTACACAAAACCCCCACTGTGCAGAAAAATAAAAACCAAGATTTTTTTAAATATTTTTCCCTCACTCACCAAATAATTGTAGACACCCTACCATAGTTTTAGTGCGGCATTTGTAAACAGCCTGTATATTTTTTAAATTTTACCATTTAAAGGTCACTAATAGACTTTTTCAACTCGCTGGGACACCTTGTATCTGTATAAATTTGCAAAAATTATTACCAAAAAATGGTGGATGCGCCGGGATAACATTAAAAGTGGTGACATTTACAAAAATCACTTATTACTTTTGTTTCCAAATTACATTATCACATTCTTGACAAAATCTTTACATCTCAAACTAATGTTTCACATCTGAAACAACAAACAATCAAAAACCAAAGACAGTAAGTGATAAATTTTTAGATTCTTTTAATGGGCGGTACCATCCTGGGCCCTGGTACCATCTTCCTCATGTTGGTGGGTGCCTTCGTGGCCGCTTTCCAAATCGATAACTGGACGAGTTTCTACTACAACATCATTCCGATCCTCTTCTTCATGTTAGTGTGCTTCACTTGCAAATCCAACATTCAACTAATCGTCGCCCAAATATTATCCACCGGTTACGCGTTGATAATGATGGCGGTGATAGTCGGTACTGCCCTTCAGTTACGCGAGGACGGAGTCGGTTCCCCCTCCGCTATATTCTTAATAGCCATGACGGGGTCATTTTTCATCGCGGCTTGTCTCCACCCTCAGGAATTTTGGTGCATTGTCCCTGGAATCATTTATCTGCTTTCCATTCCATCTATGTATTTGCTACTGATTTTGTACTCCATCATCAATCTTAATGTCGTATCTTGGGGTACTCGAGAAGTCGCCGTGAAAAAAACAAAGAAAGAACTCGAGGAAGAGAAGAAACAAGCTGAAGAAGCGAAACGAAAAGCGAAGCAAAAATCACTCCTTGGTTTCCTGCAAAGTGGTGGTACTAGCGATGATGATGAAGGAAGTATTGAGATTTCCTTAGCCGGACTGTTCAAATGTATGTTGTGCACTCATCAGAAAGCCGGTGATGAGAAAGCGTCTCTCATCAACATTGCTGATTCGTTAGAAATGCTCAATAAGCGACTCGACCACATTGAAAAGTACTGCGTTTGTATGAAACCAGTCATTATGTAAATAAAATTGTTTTATTTAGGACTATTGACCCCTCTGGTCACATTTCGAGAAGAAGAAGTATGTCAGCGTCATCAAGAGGTGATCATCACCATCTTGGAGCTGTCACTGAAGAAGGGGGTGACGAATCAGCCAATGAAACTGATTCTGAAACAGTGTCTACAGTCCCCCAGAACAAGAGAGATGATCTGGTGAACCCCTACTGGATTGAAGATCCCGATGTCAGAAAAGGAGAAGTAGAGTTTCTGAGCAGCGCCGAAATATTATTCTGGAAGGATCTCCTGGATAAGTACTTATATCCCATTGATGAAAACAAAGAAGAAAAGGTAATTTTTTTAAAAACAGTGAGTGGTGGATTTACAAACTCCAATTCAAATTTCGACTAATTCATAATTTTCTTACCAAATATGACTCCAAGCAATTTTTTTTAATATCGAACTTTGAATAAGAGCCAAAGTAAAATATTTCGCTCTGTCCATACTTATTAATATTTTGAACTGTAAAAACTTGTAATATAGAAAAATGGAGCGGAAAATTTTAGTTAAGAAAGAAAGTAAATCCACCACTTGCGCCACTTGACTGAATCCCCTGCCAAAAACTGACCCGATTCCCCCAACTTTTACCAAATTATAGGCCCGTATAGCCGCCGACTTGAAGGAATTGCGTGATCAATCCGTATTTGCTTTCTTTATGATGAATGCTTTGTTCGTGCTGATAGTGTTCCTCCTGACGTTGAAAAAGGACTATTTGCACATAAAATGGCCTTTCGGTGTAAAAACCAACATAACCTATGACGAGACCACCGAAGAGGTAATTATAGGGGCTTCACATGTTTTCTTTCTGTCGTTTCTTTCAGAAAGCCGAAAGGAATCATGTGGCCCCCTGTGACTATTTTACTCATTTTGTTTTAAACTTTTACAGGCCCGGATAGCAAAGGAGTTGATTGAACTCCGAAATAAATCGGTTTTTGCGTTCTTCATGTTCAATGCTCTCTTTGTCTTAGTCGTCTTCCTGTTGCAACTTAATAAGGATCAGATCCACGTTAAGTGGCCACTCGGTGTACGAACTAACATAACGTATATTGAGGAAACGTCCGAGGTATTTAAGGAGTTTTTTTGCGTCTTCTGTCTGGATTTTGGATACTAATCAGTGTCTTGGTCGGGGATAATAATTTCCCAAGGCAATTCCACGGACTTATGTGCACATTACGTGTAATTAATACACTTGTGGTCTTTAATTTTCTTGCAAACGGTTTTTGTGCAGTAATAACCTGACGTGTATAAATGTTAGGTAGAGGTTTCTATCTCTATTTCTTCTACACCCTTTTAATATGACTGTTAAAGGGTTAATTTTACGTGCACTATACATAGTTACACACAAACTTATATTGGTCATTAACATTCTAAACTAATACGTGTTTATATTCCAGAATGTTTAATTAGGTTGCATCCGATCCGGTCACTGTATTCCTTAGTCTAGAAATACAAAGTAGTGCTCTAATAAGAGATATACTACTTTTATTCTACTTCACTCACTTTCCCAAATGTGTGAATAACAATATTTGTTATTTTATTTCTTCCTAATGTGATAATTCGGTGCTGTAAAAGCTAGAAGTTGGAAAGTCAAGTAACGATGGCTCAAACCATTTAGTTATTTGGTCGTTTACACTTTACTCACTCACTTTATGTATTTATGTATATAATTATTAATTAATTCAGTGGCGATTCGTGGTATAATCACGTGAAAAAAAACCGATAGTGTAAAATTGCGTAAAAACACGACCGCCATTGATCTATTTTCCTCTAATACATTAGTGTACAAAATTTAATTAAAATGCAATGTTTTATGCAATTACTCAAACTCTGCACCGTTCTTAGGTCCACATCTCCAAAGAATACCTCCAACTGGAACCAATCGGTTTGGTCTTTGTCTTCTTTTTCGCCCTCATTTTGGTAATCCAATTCGTCGCCATGTTATTCCACCGATTCGGAACAATCGCCCACATTTTGGCCTCCACGGAACTCAATTTGTGTTGTACGAAGAAAGTAAATTTACCTTTCATTTAGCTTCTTCCGATAGTGAAATTCTTTTCACAGAAGGAGGAATTGTCTCCCAACGCTCTCCTTGACAAACAAGCCGTGGAAATCGTCAAACAACTGCAAAAACTGCAAGGCATCGACGATGGCGACTACGAGAACGACTCAGGATCGGGTCCCGACCGAATCGGTCGTCGCAAAACCATCCACAATCTCGAAAGGGCCGCTCAGAAGAAACGACAAATCGGGACTCTAGACGTGGCTTTCAAGAAACGCTTCGCTAAACTTAATGCCAATGGAACAAACGCCGGAACTCCGGTTCTGAGTCGAAGACTGACGATGAGAAGAGAGACGATGAAAGCGCTCGAAGTCAGGGTCAATTCGGTGATGGCCGAACGACGCAAATCGCACATGCAAACTCTAGGTGCCAAAAATGAGTACGGGAATAATAATGTCGTGACTAGGAATCATAGAAACAGTGTCGCTAGTAGCATTCCGGTGAAAGAAGTCTTCGAAAATGGACACGTCAATAAAGCGTTCGAAGAGGATACTTACAACCGTAGGAATTCGCTACAAATGCAACCAAGAAACAACGTTACCTGGAAAAGCAGCAATAGCAGAATGTGAATAAAGAAGCACTGCCAAATGACTTCGGAATACTCGTATTTTCAAATACTGCCCTTTTCAATAATAATAAGCTCAATTTTTTAAGTAAAGACAGGTTTTTACCCTAATTCGCTATTATTACTTTTATTTATTGTGAGGTATTGTGATATTTAAGACAATAAAGTATTTTATAAAAAAATCAATTCAGTCTAAATTCAACTCTACACTATCCAACATATTTTTCTTGTTTTAATTTCGATTATTATAAGCTTTTATTTAACTTGCTTTGTTGTCTGTCTCTCTGCACGAAATCTTGAGTCAAATTTGAGACAGTATCTGTCGTTCGAACAAGCTGAAATTTTGAAATTTACTGAAATTTACACACGTAATTCCTGTGACAATACAATAATACAATTTTATTTAGCAAAGTGTCTTTTAGATTGTAAAATAATGTTTGGGTCACTTCGAGTAGTTTCAGGTCGGCACAGGTCACTTTAGGCCACTTCTGGTTACTTCGGATTACTTTGACTTGGAGTAAAAAGAAAGTGTCCAATGTACTGTCTTTTTGATTTCCAAAAGAAGAAAAATTCTTAAAAATGTTTAAATTTAGTAGTAAAAATGCCAATCGAGACGAGAAAGTGTCAGATGTACTGGATTAAAAAATTTCTAAACTTGGAAAATAACATTGAAAAATTTCTTAAAGGAATGCTTATACAGGGTGTCCCAGAAAAAGTGTAGGAGCCGAGGATTGCAGATTCTTCTGCGAAGTATAATGGCGTATTTGAAAGAAAATAATTTCGATCTCAAATAGAATTTAAATGATTAACATTTTAAATTGGCCAATCGTGAAGGATTTTCTAATTAATTTCTTAGGTATAAGTTACGTTGCCAAGTTAAATGCAAAAATTAAAAGTTTGTTTTTTTTTTGAAAAAATATCTGGTCAACTAGTTAAGGGTCAGTGTCACATAAATTGTCACGAGAAACGTCACTTGTATTTGTCCGTTATTTTTTTCATTCTCGTGGTCTAAATAGTGTTGGTGAAAATGTTTGCTCCTAATGAATACCTTGAAATGGTAATTATGTACGGCGAATGCAATAGAAATGCCAATGAGGCAACGAGACAGTATGCCATACGATTTCCCCAACGAAATCACCCTTCGTCAAATGCATTTCTGCGTTTGATCGCACGTGCTGGAACAACTGGGTCTCTAATGCCGCAAAAAAAAGGTCTTGTTGGCGTGCCACGTACAGCAAGAACACCTGAAGTGGAAGAAATGGTGCTAGATGCTTTTTTACAAGAACCCACAACCAGTATTCGCACGATTTCGAGACTTTATGGCGTATCCAAAAGTTTAGTGCAAAGGGTACTGAAGGAAAACCATCAACACCCATATCATTATACACAGGTACAACACTTGCAACCACAAGATTATCCTGCACGAGTGGAATTTTGCCAGTGGTTATTGCGTCAACATGCTGACAACGCAAACTTTTTAGACAGAGTAATTTTTACTGACGAATCATGTTTTACGCGCAATGGAGTTTTCAACAGTCGTAACTATCATGTGTGGGCTGGGGAAAACCCTAATGCTACGAGGCCAAGGGCTTTTCAACATAGGTTTAGCATAAATTTATGGGCTGGCATCTTAGGAGATCGTATAGTAAGGATAAGTTGTAAGAATATCATTTACATTATGGTAAAATAAATTGATTTCTAGATAGGACCTGTGGAACTGCCACGTATACTTAATGCGGAAAATTATGCTGAATTACTATTACATAATTTAGAAGATCTGCTAGATAATGTCCCCCTTCAACATTTGCCACAGTGGTTCCAACACGATGGTGCTCCGGCACATTTTGCAAGAAATGTGAGAGATATTTTACATCACATGTACCCCAATCAATGGATAGGACGAGGAGCCCCTATTCATTGGCCAGCGAGATCTCCGGACTTAACGCCTCTTGATTTCTTTTTATGGGGTCATATGCAAAATTACATTTATTCCGAGCCAATCGCAACTTTAGAAGAACTTGACGGGAAGATAGTAGAGGCTATAGCCACGATTACACCAGAAATGTTACAAAATACAAGAAGGAGTTTAATTAGAAGAGCCAATCTTTGTATAGAAATGCATGGTGGTCATTTTGAACAACTTCTTTAACGTTTATTTATTGTTCTGTTGGTTTTATTTTATTTATTCGAGTTATTAATAAAAAGTTCTTGGTTGCTTATGTTAAAAAATATTGTTAGTTTATTTGCTCAAAAGACACTAAATTCGTTCTCATTGCTCATTGCTTCCACATAACATTGTTACAATTAGAGTTGTTGTGATGTAACTTCGGAAGTAATCTTCTCATTGTAATTTCTATTGGGGGCCATAACCTTACCAAACTGGGAAAACTATACCATCGTGTCATTAAGACATAATAAGTACACTATAGGTACTACATTGCAAGGGCCATTAGGTCAAATAAAGAACTCAAATAGTTTCATAAGATTCTTCTCCAAGATGCAAACCTACTTCTTTACCCTCTTTCGTTTCAATTTTCAATAGTTATTAAAGCCACTTTGCAGAAGTTGTGTCCAAACTTTCCAACATATTGCATTACTTTTAAATGTGTTGCTTGAAGTATTTGCATACTTCGTAGCCACTCGTAGCATACACGCTTTCCTTTTAGAGACGAAATTTTGAATTGAAATTGACTTGTCAAATGCCATGAATGACGTTACTAATTTACAGTAGACCAGATAAATATTCATGGCTTTGCATCACCCTATTCTTCTTCTGTTTCCTAGCGATCAAAAAATAGGTAGCAGCAAGGTATCACCGAGGCTTTCATAATTGGTCAATTTCAAGCCTTTATAACTCAAACGTTTTTGAACCCTAAACATTTTTTCTTTCAATATTAGTATTAGCTAACGTAGCAGAAAATGTGGTTAACAGCTCCTACACTTTTTCTGGGACACCCTGTATTTAAAAAATGTCAATCCTGACTTTTCAAAACATCGTCCTACAAAAGACAGTTGGGGAGACTAAGAAAGTGTCACATGTGCTGAATTAAAAATTTTGTACACTTGCCAAAATTAAACATTTAAAAATTTCTTAAGGAAATGCTTCAATTTTAAAAATGCCATTAAAGTATTTACTTTATTTAATAACACTACCCAAAAATTTTTTTTAATGTGATTGATCTATTGACACGTGTATCAGGGTACATTACGAATTTGATAAGAAAAATTCTCCATCACGTACAGATTTTAAGTTACAGGAAAATAGTTTTCTCAAATTTCATCGTAAAAATTGTTCATTTCAAATAGAAATTAATTAAATAGACGACGAAAGAAATTAATTTATTCACTAAACAAGAACAATGTTGAAAGATGTGTAAGATTCTAACATAAATCTGTTGTAGATGAGTTTTTGAGAAAGCTGACTTTCTTTTGTAGGGTGTTTTAACTTCTCTTATCAGGAACCAGCAGTAATCCCCCATCATAGCTGCACCCCATCTCCCTTGGTACCTCTTTTCCATCGTCAATATATCCTGGTGGAACTTTTCCCCTTGTTGGTCACTAACGGCACCCAAATTTGTGAGAAAAAAAATTAAATGAAAATGGAGAAAATGAATTTTAAGTGTTTCGTTTTTCGGCGATTTTGTCGGACATACTTACATATGATATCTTAAAATGCCTAACTTTAAAATCTGACGTGCTATGGAATTTTCTTTATCATTTTTGAGTTTAGCACACAGCATTGAACAAAAAATAACTGTTTTCTTTTCAGTCACAAAATGCTTGTTTGGCTAGTGTAATTTATTAACTATTAACAATTGTTATGAACAATTATCAGTATCTCGGCCCATAATTGAAATACGAAGATGGAACCAACTCCACTAGATAGAACAGAAAAATCCCTACAAGTTGATAGGGTTCGTAAAAGCATAAGCAATCCCCTACCTCCCACAGGAACGAAGATATTACGGGCTAAAATTTTAACATCACTCTTTAAAACAGATTCCATTCTATGGTGTAAACAAAAATTTTAGGTTCTTCTCTGGTAAAAAATAGCGTTTCGTAAGGCAAGTTTTGTGGAACGAGTTCAGGTTTATGAAATGAGCAGCGAAGTGCGAGTTTTATAAGTTCTCACAAATGACTTATGAAACTAGTTTTTTATGCTATTTTTTTCTATTTTGCATTTTATGTACTTTTTTAACATAGTCATTTTTTAAAATTTAGGAAAGTTATCTTAAAAACCATATACTGCAAATATTTCATGCATATCACCTAAAATAAGAGAAATCGCTACAAACGCCGCTGAAAATCACCTCTAAAATGTAGATTGTACTAGTCTATTTCAGCATCTGATTTGGTGTTAAAATGGCTCATTAAAGCAGCGGTTTAGGTATCGAAATAAACTTTCTTTCAGACGCAAAATAGAAAAAAATATCTTTTTATTAGTTGTGTTAACGTCCTGCATCATTTGTTTATATAGTGGATCACGAGTTGAGGGCAAATATAAGACTTTTCCTTAAATAGCCGACGTTTGTTTACCACTAAGACACTTCTCGTCACCTAAATGTTATAATTTATACGCCATTTATACACAATTTTAACTGTTTTGTCGATTTTTTAATGTGTTATCAATTTACATAATATTCTATAGTTTTCAATAGTTATAAGTGCTACCTTCAACCGCATACAATTGACAAAAATTATGAAAAATCATTTTATAAAAAACTCATGTAAGTAGTAATTTTCTTATAAGGTAACACACAAAGTAATCTTTCCACCATGTACCTAAATTATTACTAACATCTGTCCAACAGCCCTGATGATGATATAATACAATTTCAAAACGTCGGCTATTTAAGGAAGTGTTTTATTTGTCCTCAACTCGTGATTCACTATATAAAATAATATTTTATTTTTAGTATTTTTTTTTAATAAAATCTTATTTTTACAAATATTTTTTATATATATTTTTTAATGTTTTCCGAGTGTTTTTTGGCACTTTATTGATCATAAATAAAATACAAAATTTTGTATTTAAGGTATTAAATAAAACACCATCAAAAGATGCAACTAAACTTCATTATTGGCTGTAGATCCTAGCGCCACAATTTCTGTGCTATCACAATCAGTTATCTCCTCTAAATCTGCACAAAATATTTCACTCGACTGTATCGTCTTAGACTTGACCACTTTTCCTTTCACATCAAGATCGTCGATTTGTATCAAAACCTTCTTCGCCGCTTCACTATCACTCTCTTTGCGATCTTTCTCCGACAAAACCACATCAAAAGTATGCAACGAATTACAATCTTTCGCTTTTCTTTTCACCACATCGAAATTTAGAGATTCCTTCTCCGAAGGAGCTTGCACCGTTTTCCCTTTGATAATTTCTTCAGTCACATCTAGAGTCTCATATCGGACTGTTTGAAGCCGATAGATTCCGTCTGAATCTTCTTTGTACCGAAATCTCGAGTGACCCGAGGGCCAGTGGTAATTGTGAACTTTCATTAAATGTTTAGTCAAGAAGCCGCCACGAATAAATTGTTTCTTACAGTTGTGACATTCGTAGACATTATTCCAATCCTTAAAATAACGAATTAAATTCAAGTTAATTGCTTTAGAGTAGCTTACTTTTCCGTGAGCTTTTTGATAGTGTCGGTCCAATCCGAATGAAGATCGACATTCGAAATCACAATCTGTGCACTTCAATTGGCTATCGGGGTCGTGTGTTTTTAAATGGAAATCCAAGTTGTGCTTTGAAACACATCTAAAGAAAATCGAAGAAAAAAATTAAGCGTTAGGTGATGTCACAACTTACGCGTAATCGCAGTGGTTACATTTGTACGGTTTCTCACTCAAATGTTTATATCTAATATGTTTCGCAAGAATTGATGGTTTGGGACACGTCATTTCACACATGGAACACTTATACTGGTTAATATGTAATCGCATATGATCCCTCAATAACCGTTCACTCGGGAAATATTTAGAGCATTGCGAACACAAATAACTTTGTACTAAAACAACAAAATCAGATTTTCCCCACAATTAAAAACTCAAACCTACGATTAATAGGCAACTGTCTTTTTCGATGATCACAAAACTTCGTTTTATTAGCAAACAAATTACCACAAGTCGGACATGCAATTATTTTCTCTTTCGTATGAATCCTTAAATGTTCAGATAATCTACACTGTGAACGAAATTTAGTTTTATGGGTACACCCTTTCCAACAACAAGTAATAACACCCTCTTTATTGCTCTTAGGATTGTGATAAACGTGAATTTGAACGTGGTCGAAGAACTCAAATACCGTTTCGAATCTCTCGTTGCAATATTCCCATTCGCAAAGGTAACCGTCAGGGGTTACTGGAATTACAAAGTGCTCCGTTAGGGTGCATTCTGGTAAATTGGTGCGGTATAAGACACTTTTACCACGCGATATTAATTTGGTATGGTATGCATGGTAGCACACGTGCTGATTTAGGTCTAGCATTGAGCTGGCAACGTAGGTACACCCTGACCAACAACAATCTACAAAAGTTGGAGTAAAATGTATAATTTCGAGTTTACAAGTGGCAAATAGGGTCTTAAAAGCGTAAATACCTCCTTCTCCGATTAAACTGTAATTCTGCAAGTGCTGCTTCAAATGATTAATAAAGGAAACTAATTCTGTAAAATCTTGATAACAGGAATCCCATTCACATGTCAGAAGCAAAGGATCAACATCCAATTTAACACATCGATTATTTCTCCTTCTCGATTTCTAACAAGTGAAACATTACACAAAAATCGTACAATAAAACAGTACTTACATAATAATCATGCGAACCCCAATCAGAGGCTGACAAAGAATCATCCAAATCGCCCTTTTTAAAAATACCTTTCACAGTTCTGCACTTCTCAAACGAATTATGTTTCCGCTTTCTGGCGTTGCTATCACACATTTTTTAAAGACGGTTTTTCAATAAGTATTTGAAAATGAACGAAATCTGTTTGAACAGTATGCAAAGGCACTATTACAGGAGACGAATTACTTTCACACTCAGGTGATGCAACCCATAAAAAATTCTATAAAAATAATGTCAAGTAAAAAATTTGAAAAAAAAACTAGAATCCCACCTCATTTAAAGGGTTTTGCTTGTATTCCAGATGTGCAAACTCTGTGACTTGTAGTTGTATAATAAAAGAGGCGTCTTCTGGTAATTTTTGAAGTTTATCAAGAGTTGAGTAAAGTTTCAAGAAAAAAGTACTTAAATGTTGTTCCAATTTAATAAGAAAAGGGTCACTACAAACATAGGTATGATAATGAATATTTTCCATAAACACTACCTTTCCAAAACGGCGTTAAAGTGCAAAATTTGAAAACTGTACTTCTCTATGACTTCTTGGTCTGAAATAAAGCACAGAAAAATATTTTTTAACTGGTTGTGTCTCAAATGGAAACTTATTGCTTTAATACAATTGGCAATGTAGTCATTTAAACTGGGGAAGAGAGAGTGGTAAACGACCACACCGTATTTACGCTTTCGTTGAAAAATTGAATCTGGATATAATTTTCGAGCAAATAAGACGTTATGAACTGCAATCTCTAGAAACTCACAAAATATGTCTAAAATGTAACTGAATTACAAACAACTAGTGAAACAGCTTGAAGACTTACCATTACCACTCGACTCTTGCATAGCATTATCGGAGAATCGTGGTATTTTATCAGAAACTTGAAATTATTTTCACATACAAGTCGAACATTAAAATTATAGGTTATGTCAACAATCAGCTGACTGAAGTTGGCGCGTTTTTAAGTTTGGATGAAAGACAATCCAAAAATTAGCCCCAATGTCACAAATACACTACTTTTGTCACATTTAACTCATATAACTACGACTTTGACTTCTTATTACGCTCTTTTAATTGTTAATGTCGAAAAAAATTATTACAATTCACAGGAACGATTGGTAGAACTTGGATTGGTACCAATATCAGGATTAAATCCCCAACTAATTTGACAAGTCTTTTGACACCAATAATAATTAACGTTGCAGCTGCTGTTAGTTTATTTCTTTTATAATACTCAATTGTTAAACTAAACATTTAACAGTAACTTTATTATCATTTTCGCCTTGGGTAAAGTGAATCGTGTGCGTCATTGTGACTTGAACGTTGCGACATATAAACGCTTACGTCACTGTGAAATGTTATACATTCTCTCATCTAATTTCTCCTTATCAAATTGTGAGTGTTTCATGTGATTTTACGTTATGAACGAGCTATGAGCTACTATGAACTTTGGGAAGATACCGATCAGTTACTTTTGTTTATGACGACTACGGAACTAGTGTAATATCTAGTCGATTCATGACGAGAAAGTGCTTGTCTTCTGTTGATTATTCGTTTAACATATGATTGCAAACATCGAACGTCGAGTTTCTTCCAACCATTAGAAGGAAATATACTTGTTACAGTACCTGATTTGATTTAGTTAAGCCACTTGTTCGAAATGGGTTTGTTGTTTTCCAAACTGTGGAGTCTTTTCGGTAATGAAGGTAAATAACGTTTGTAAACATATGGATGCGGGGGTTTAATGTGTTTTTCCAGAACATAAAATAGTAATAGTTGGATTAGACAATGCAGGTAAAACAACTATTCTATATCAGTTCTTAATGAATGAAGTTGTTCACACTAGCCCCACAATTGGTTCAAATGTTGAAGAAGTTGTTTGGCGTAATATCCACTTTATAATGTGGGATTTAGGGGGTCAACAATCATTAAGAGCAGCTTGGAGTACTTATTATACAAACACAGAAGTATGTCAATTGTTACATTCGTTACAAAGTTACTAATTTCTTATTTTTAGTTTGTGATACTAGTAATAGATTCAACGGATAAAGAAAGGTTAAGTGTTATTAGGGAAGAATTATATAAAATGTTGGCAAATGAAGAACTTTCGAAAGCGGGAGTGCTCATTTATGCAAATAAACAAGACGTTAAAGGGTCAATGAGTGCTTCTGAAATATCCAAAGAATTAGATTTAACTTCAATTAAGCAACAGCAGTGGCACATACAAGCTTGCTGTGCTTTGACAGGAGAGGGGTAAATAGATCATTTTTCTCTAGATTTATAATTTTTCAATTTTTTTTTTAGACTTTACCAGGGTTTGGAGTGGATAGTCAGTCGCTTGAAAAAGAAGTGACCGAGTTCTTCGCGACAGATAAAAAAATACTGTTATTTTCTCATATTGAGAAATGCGGTTGTGTAACATTTCTCATAATTCATGCTAATTATTTTTTAAAGCTTGTGGTATAAATATTCAATTTTATATTGCGGTGTATTTATACGAAACATTTATGTGCCACAAGTAAATCCTTGTTAAGCATCTAGTAATAATAAATTTATATTGAATTATTAAGTTTCGGTTTCATCCTTTACACATATGTAACGGCAAGATCCATCTTGTAAACTAATTGTATTTTTTTTATAATCACTATCTTATTGTACAGTAACTATTAAGGATAATACATTTTTTCTGTTAATATTTGTTTTATTTGAATTCAAACAATCTTTCGCTAATTCATGTACATGTTTTTAGAAAAAAACTTAATTATTTACTTACATAAAATATTGTAAATATTACGAATACATTTTACACATGACACACATGGAATGCAGGACCTAATTGTATAAATAAAATTAAAAAAAATTATACATATAATCAATAAATCACTGGTTTCCAGAGTAAAATTTTCATCATTTTATAGACTAGAATGAATATAGTACAAATATTAAACAAAGAGCTTCAATCAACCACCAAATTGAGAGGTTTTTCTTCATTCGTCTCCATTTTCTGTTCGGAAGAAATCCTTAAGTCAGTGGCCTCCACTTCAGAGTTTTTCGTCGAACTCAAATCAAACACATTAAAGTCACTCTTTGGAACTTTTTGGGGCCTCTCTCCCATCTCTACACTTTTACTCAAATTAAGCGAATAATCCGATAAATCACTTTTGGACAAATTCAATTCAGGGGCGATAAAATCGAGTTTATTTTTCAAATTCAGTAAATCGGCTGCAAAATCCGACTTGCCCTTAATTTCTGAAGGAATCTTCAACGCGTGTTTTTGGTCTTTTGTTTTAGTCAAAATGGGGCTGCTGGTAGACAGCGGCTTCAGTAGTTCCTGCATTTTGAATAAATTCGTGGAGAGAAACATGTTATTCGCCGCTAGTGTGCTCTGAGCCATTGGATCTGGAAGGCCCAAAAGACTACTAGCTGTTGGAAATTTGCCAGAATTGAAGAGAATGTTGGAAATGTCTGTCGAGAGCATCACATTCGAGGATAAACTGGGCAACATTTGTGATTTCGAAATGGATGGAATGCTCAACAAACAGTCGTTTTCTTCGGTTTGGAAGCCCAAAATCTCGCGGATGAAACGCCAGAGAGTTGTCTCGCTCTCATCACGGGGAAATTTCGAAATTAGAGTACTTTTCAGTTTGTCGATGTAAAGATTAGTGTTCAAATACCTATCGCTGAAATTGACGAAATCGGACTCTTTCTTGTAGTAGTCCACGCATTTTTTCATCTCGTCTTTGATGTTTTGGGTCATCAACGAATCCTGAATCACGCTGTAGGACATGAGCATGGGACGGCCGTATTCATTGGGTTTGGTTTCCGGGGGCGGTACGACCCAGTAGGCCACTATACTCGATTCCAGTGAACTGTTATCATAATTATAAGGCGCTAAAATAACTATTTTCAAAAAATACAAACAACAAAAACAGAGAATTACATATTATGATCCCAATACACGGTGTGTAATTATTATCCGAAGTCCCTTTCATACGAATTTGATAGTCTAACTGAGCGTCGACGTCTCTTAAAGTCGGCGCCGCCGCTGCGAAAGGATGTGAGTGGTACCAACCGACTAAAGTGAGTTTTTCTTTTTCTATCGCTCGGGAAATTTCGGTCTCCACATTTTGGGCATTTTCACGATCAGATTTCGTGTTCCGACAAGGAAAAGCGCTGGTTATCTGCAAGTCTGCGAGAAAAAAAAACAACCATCAAGCGGTTTAAGAAAAAAAAATCTCGCTTACTATGATTGTTGACGTCCCAATGGCCGGCGAGGTATCCACACACTTCCGACTTCATCAAATGGCAATGGAAGTCCATCAAGAGTGCAGCATTTGTTGATAATGATACTAGGAATGGTTGGATTTTACCGATGTTCGAGAAGGGAACGCATTCGATCAATGTGTTGGCATCACTGCAGGATAGGAATAAAAAGCATGATCTCAAAATACTAGCTTTGTCACCAAATAAATTGTACCACAGCATTATTATTCTTTTTTTTTATTTTTTATTATTGTTCTTACCAAAGCAAAACTATTAGTTTATTTATGGTGCTATTCTGTAAAAAAAATACGTGCTATAGCGCTATAACTCTTTAAGCTATCGACTATAAGTAAAAATCGAATTCTCTAAGGAAATATTTCTCTATACCTAAAATTCTATAAGCTTAAAGTCTCTATAAAGTTATGGCGAGAAATTTGCTGACCGTAAAGACTTATAGTCTCTATAACGATATATTGTCATAGTAACAATGTCACTCCTCAATAATTTATTATAAGTACTTCTCTCCGTATTTCGCCAGTGATGCTAATTTTTGTTCTCTTATAATTATTGGTATCGTGTAAAGTTAATAATAGGTACATAGTTCAGTGATAGATCGTAATAATATTGCACTAATTGCATTATATTTATTATTAAATGAAGAAAAAAGAAGGTAATGTTGTGGACAATAATGAGCTTCTTACTACAAAATCTTTAATAAAAAGAGTGTCTATTTAGAAAAAAGTTATTTTGTAAAAGGTACAAGCAGGTTTTATGAAAATCAGTAATAAATTTTTGTGTAATTTATTAATATGAGCTCAAAGTTGATGCATTTTCTAAATTCTCCTTCGGCTTTAGTTTCAAAATTGTTACTTCTTCAACTGCCAACATCCAAAAATTACCATGAATAAATTTGTTAAGACTGTTTGACATTTCCAATTAATAAAAAACAGACTATAGGGTAATTACAGCGCTATAACTCGAATGTTTACATAGACGCTTAGAGAATACCACTTTTGATACGATTCTATAAGGACTTTAAAAAATTTATATACAGAGCTCTATTAGTTATGGAATATACCAGCTTATAGACTATAGCAGATTTTTAGAGAATAGCCTAATTAGTTATACACGTAACAAAAATTACCGATATTTTAATAATTTCCTTTCCAAAATTAAAGGAAAAGTATCAAATACTTAAATTTTATGTAATTAAATTTTATTTTCAATTATGTTTCAGTTTGCCCTTACTTATTCATACGTAATGTACCTAATTTTTATAAAGTTTTAATTTTTAACAAATATGTATAAATGTCTTAAATATGTAATTACCAATTGTCATTTAATAGTGTGAGCATAAATTTCTTCGTGCAATGCAATATTCTCATAAATTTATAGATAAAAATGTGAAGAGAAATCTAAAGATTATGATACAACTTTTATTAATTGGTGACTAATTAACCAGTTTAATTAATTAGTTTGGTATTAACCATTTGGTGACTAATCTAACATTTTGGGAAAAAATCTAATTATTTAGTAACTTAAAACGGAATAGCATAATAACCGATAAAAACCTACTGAGTCAACGTCCTGTTGGCAATAGTGTTATGTTTGACAATCATCCTGTGATACTGCATGGTGTTTTTTAATGCCTTCTGTGTAAAAATCTCCAGTTCAGACGTCCCGTCAAACTCCTGATTCCTCTCCTCTTTCTTTTTTCTGTACCATATGTTCTTGTAAGCGTCTAGTTTCTTTCCGCGATATTTGACGGAAGCCCACCCACAGCCCGACTTTTTTTCCGGATTAATGAACCTCTTACATGCTATAGCCCAAGCGCTCGGTGACGCAAAAACAATGTCAGTCTCTTGACTCCGTATTTTACCGTCTTCTAACAAATCGCCCACAAACCTCTGTCCCTATCCACAAAATCAGGTTTATTGTTTAAAAGGATATGGAAGGTGAGACGTACCAAATACTCTATTGTCATAGTCCCATTACCAGGCTGTAAGATATCAGCAGCCAAAAGCATTTGAAGAGTTACAGTGCGAGAAGTCGCCGAGGTCCCCATGGACAATTTTCCGCCACGAGAGCCATTGTCGCCCTCCAAGTCCTACATCGTATGAAAAATTACACTCATGCCTTAAGTAAACTATGAAGAGAAAAGGTCTATCATGCAGGCTACAGTTTCAAAGAATATTAGTGAGACAAGCAACAATTATGGGGTCTTTTTGCATATTAGTAATTGGTGCAAGGGAACGAAAAGAGACCTCGTCAACATAATCTTCAACGTCGTCTCCGTCATCGTCGTGGAAATTGTTTTCGTCATCATCTACATTGGTAGAAGTATTTACATTAGAGCTGTGCCCTAAGAGGGCCGCTTCGAGTTGAGACTGCATCTTAAGGAGAAAGAGGTGTTAATTAAAGTGCAACACTTGACTAACACCTTAAAATAAAAGCTGAAAGGCCGATTTTCCCAACTAAATGTAAAAGACCTAACCCTTTACCAAAAAGCCAAAACTAAACAAGTTGAACTTACCGAAGATGCTCGCCGATTTCCTACAATGGTTAAACATATAAACGACAATTTTTATAAGCTATTCATGCAGTCTACACGCAACTGCCGTCAGTTAAAACACCACATTGCAGCTTTTTGTAATTAATTTCAAAAAATTCACATAAACAAAATAACAAATTAAAAGGTTCTGTCAACTCGTTTGACGTTAAAAGTCTGTTTCACACGATTTAAAAATACACCTGTCCTAGAAAAATTCTTTAAAAAAAATATCGTTTCTTTTCTGAAATAAAAGGAAGTTAGAAACCTGTGTAAATTATTTAAAAATAGTTTTTTTTTTTAATGAGTAAAAAACATCGGGTTAGACTTTCTGAATAGTCGACCTTTCGTGAAATATGACGCGCGCACCTCTTCTCCATTAATTTTGAGTTTGACAGTTGTGTCTCTTGAACTGTACTTATCATAACCGAAAACATAATAATAATTGTTCTGTTAGATGGATTTCGACATTAGTAAGGAAAATATTCAACCACTTCGAGGTGGACGTAATGCTTCCCAGTTAGGAGTTGCTTTGCAAGCACAGACCGATATGGATCATCACAGAGAGTTGCTGCAACAGCAAAGGTGACAAAATTACTGTCTTCCTTAGGTTATACTTTTCACGGTTTTTATTGAGGAAAATATCGTTTTCATAACTGTAAATCAAAACATATAAGTCTTGTTTGCTTTGCAGTGAGTTTGAGCATCAAATTGAAACATACACTGGCGATGATCCTCTGGAAATTTGGTACAATTACATTTCATGGGTCGAGCAAAGCTACCCCAAGCAGGGTCATGAAGGAAATTTAGGGCCATTGTTGGAACGCTGTTTATGTTTATTTGAAAAAGATCCACGGTACAGGAACGATCGTAGGCTTTGTAAATTATTTATTAAATACGTGAGTCACTGCTTGATAAATGTGGATTAGGGGCCCATGATTTCGTCAATTTCAGATTGATCAACATCAAAATCCTCTGGAATTGTACCACATGATGTATGCGTCTGAGCTGTGCAGAGGGTGTGCTGACATGTATAGAGCATGGGCGTATTATTATGAAGCAACTGGTGATTTTCAAAATGCTCACACTATATTTGAGTATGCGAAAAAGGAACTTGCACAGCCTATTGGTGATATACTCAGTGCACAAGAAAGTCTTGTCTTGGCGGCAGGACGACACGTGTGTTTTTAAACCACTCTGTTTTATGTAATATCTAATGATTTTGTTTAAGATGATTTATGGACCAAATGAAAGAGATTTATCAGAGAAGCGGCAAGCACTGACTTCTCTACAAACGTTTAAACCTGGACAAGTTGGCAGTGTACGCAATGCCATCAGTGATTATCCAGTCACATTGGGTAATTATATAGTTTTTTACATTATTTTATAGACAGTTTTTTAATCTTGTTTTAATCTTTTTATAATGACTAGGATTTTGGATCTAATTATGTACGAAAAATACGGCAATGATTTTAAAAGAACTGAAATTACAATGAATTCATTGTAAACATGGAAAATAATATTTTGCGTTCATAGTTTATCGAAAAATTCTTGTCAATAATTTTTTTCTTTATTTTTGTTGTGTTGTATGATCAAGAATGACTGAGTTCGCAGTACTGAATTTTTAAATGCCATATTTGGAATTATTTTCAGTGTTAATTCTGTTCCAAACTGAGTCACTTTTGATTAGGCGGTATTTAAACTTTTTATAATTAAATAACAGAAAATAGATAAACTTTTCTGTCATTTTAATTATTCCATTTAGTACGTATTTCTTTTATGGTTAATAGTATTCTAAAAAATTAAAGTCATACTAATTGTAATATTTTTTTATATTATTGCAAGAAACTTATTTTTATGTGTGGTGTATCCAAAGGTGCCCCAGTAGCTGGCCTATCTAATGCTTCTATTCCGGTATATGAGGATAAAGGGCCACAAGTAAGAGGAGCCGAAGCAGGCCCTATTAGCATTATAGCAGCAGCAAAACGACAGGAAGTTCCCAAAGAAAATACTCTAAAACCGGGACAATGGACAACAGTAGTATTAAAAAACAAATTAGTTGGTCAACGAAATTTGAATAGTTGTGGAGGTAGGATTATTCGTTTGTGCAAATACTAAGAAACTAATTTTGTTATAATTTAAATTTGTATGTGCCTATTTTGTATACAAAATATGAAAATACTTTCATTGCTTCTACTAATATACAAGTTTTTGATTTAAGGTAATGCTGATCGAGCATCAATTCCTATATATGAAGATCAGGATGAGGAATTAAGAGTGGCTGAACGTAATAGTTTTGTATCGGCAGAAAAACATCAAGAAATGTCTACAGTTAAACAAGAAATGTGGAAGATGCGACCTTTAGCTCAAGGAAGTGGTCCAGGTTTGTCCTGAAATATTAAAAAAATTCTCAGTCGTAGTTTCAGTTCATGAAGGCTATGAAGATGGGCTTAAACGAACAACTGATTTTGTAAGTGAAACGTTCGAAAATTACTCCGATTGGATAGTTAGTTTAACTATTCCTGAACCGAAAGATGACAGAATGGTACCGATGTATCCCAAAGCAAAAGTATATTCAAAGATAAATACCGAATATAGTCTTGAAGAATTGCGAACCGGTCGATATTTACCAGCAAAGAGTCAACACCAATCGGTTAAAAATCTCTCGTATCATGTCAGTATTCACTTATTTTAAACGAATGATTTACAATTTTTCTCTTACAGGAACAAATTTCGTACCAGAACATTTCCAAACATCATCACGAACAAACCCAAAGAGAAGAAAGTCATCACCAATCACCATTGGCTTTCAACATTTGGAACTCCCCTCAAGAGAAACAAGTTTTGAATTTTGATTTGTGGAATACCTCCAAACACGACACGCCTAACACATCGATCAATATTCCAAAATCGAGTGTGCCCCAATTTTCAATTTATGAACAGTCAACTTTAGCTTTGCAAGAACACATTGAACCGAAAGGGAGTGCGATGAAAACGCCGTTCAAGGATTTGAACGCTGAAGAGCTCGCCGAGACCGGTTCTCGAGGTGGAATGGATGTGGCGGCTGCAGCACCGGTAGATAGCGCTAAAAGATTGCCCTTGTACGACGACGACAGTAGTTCTTCGTATGATAAAATACCAGAAACCGCGGATTTCAACGATCTTACTTGTAACACGCAAATGTTTGGATTTAATTTGAACGTTATGCAAGTGAGCACACCACAGAATAAACAGCAGTATCCCGCTAATAGTGAAGCGAACGCTGCCAAGTTGACGCCGAAACAGTTGTTCGCTGAGCAAACTTTGAAGAATGATGGTGAGAAGTACGAGAAGAATCTCTCGACTATTTTCGAAGAAACCAAAAGCTACGGGTGAGTGATTGGATTCCCAAAAAATCCGTTTTTGATCCACTTTTTATCGCCATTTTTAACAGCCAAAGTTCCAGTTCAAGTTCGAGTAACGCCGCCACCAAATCCTCGCTATTCGGTAGCAACTTCAAACAGAACACTATGGCGAAAATTTCTGAAGAACACAACAGTTACCTCGCCCAAAATCTCATGGTGAATGCGGCTTTGCGATCGAGTTCGTTGGGCGATCTCATGGATTTCGATCAACAAACGAATCCAGTTCCATCGATACCAAAGCCAGTCGAGTCGGTAGTACCAGCACCAACAAAATTCACACCACTGACAGTGGTGCCATCTGATCCGTTTAAACAAAATCTAATAGAGGCGCTGTTGCGAAGAGTTAATTTTCCGGGACCGCATATACACGGTTATGTTTATTTAAGTAGCATTCCAAAGTTGGTAGTCCGCAAAGAGTCTGTCAATATCGGACTGGATAAATACGTGATTGAGAAACAGCTCGGGAAGGGGACTTATGGCACTGTTTTTCGGGGAATTGATGTCAGGACGGGGAATACCGTTGCGGTGAAGTTTCAAAGACCAGCCAATAAATGGGAGTTTTATATTTGTAGGGAACTGAGATCGAGATTGGCACAGCATCCGCTTTGGGAAAGATTCATGGATGTTAGAATCGGTTATTTTAGTAAGTTTGGCGTTTATGACCATTTTATTAATTCTGGAATTTATTTATTTTTTTTTTTTTCAGGTGACCAAGCCTCGGTATTGATCTCAGAATTCATGCCTTGTGGCTCATTGCTGAGTGTCGCAAACACTGTAAAGCAGAAATCCGGGCGCCCCATGAAAGAATCTCTCTGCATCCATTTTTGTTTAGAAATGCTGAAAGTGGTCCAAGCGATGCACGAGGTGAAAATCATTCATGCCGACATCAAACCTGACAATTTCCTAGTTCAACTCACGACGAACGATGCTATAGTTTTACAATTGATTGATTTCGGCTGTAGTATAGATATGTCTCTATTTCCACCAAATGCCAGTTTTACTCGCAAAGTTACAACTGAAAATTTCATCTGCTGCGAAATGCTCGATGACCGGCCATGGAACTACCACACAGATTTGTTTTGCATTGCTGCCACCGCGCACGTTCTATTGTTCGACAAGTATATACAGATGCGGAAGAACGATGGCCATTGGTCGATTTCGAATCGGCTGCCGAGATACGCCAGATTAGATCTGTGGAATATGTTTTTTAGTACTCTACTTAACCAGCAGGACGGACCAGCGAATTCGGCGGCGTTGCAAGCGATGCTTGAAGATAGCTTGAATCACAAATTTGATGACTATCACAATGAACTCCGATTTCTTACCAATCTTCTGAAAAATCGATAGCAGTTTGGTTGAGGCACGTCGCAGTTGGATTTTTGTTTCAAATAGGTGTTTCTAAATAATTTTAAGTAACTATTTATTTTTAATAAAGTTATGTTAAATAGGTAATTTTCTTGTGAATTATTTTATGTTTTGTTTCGTTCACGTGAAATGTACACAAAGACTTAGGTTGTTCCGATTTTTCGCATGCTTATTGATTAAACGATTTACTAAAAATGACTTTTATTGAGAAAGCGTGATTTGAATTGTTAAGCGGTAAATAAGTGTTTCGATCTATATCATTTTTTATTCAAATTCCTAAAGTAAATAAAGGGTCGTTTAAATTAAACAATGCTTATGAATAAATACTTTTAATAATTAATTCTGTTGCCCATCATATATTCAAAATGTTTTTGACCTATCAACTTTATAAGAGGTCTTTATAAATTTGTCCGGGATTCTCATTATAAAGTGGTATTGCGTCATTCTCGCATCTGCTTCGAACATACTTCCTTGTTTGTAAATTGGTTTGTAATTTACATTACGCCTAGAAAAACTATCATTTATTGGAAATGCAACGCGTTCTTTAAATAACTCGACTAATAGAATCAGGTCATTTAGACAAATTTCTTAAATAGAAGATGCCTACACAAAGAAAATGGTTCTAAGGCCAACTCACTTCCACAATTACAAAAATCACTCAAAGTGTATTTTTTTAGTTATTTTGTTTGTAATGGTTTTAATTTCGTAAAAAATAAAAAAGCATCTTTTAAACTGGATTTTTTGAGTTTACAATTTAAAGGAAATGTTTGAGAAACTTAAAATATTTTTTTGTTAGTATCTAGCGTTTATTTATAATAATATGAAATATTTTTAGCAATTTGACAAAATCGCCAACGAAGTCTAATTTGTAATTTACATGTATAGAAATCAAATGCCAACATGTTGAAAAACAAACGTCTACCTAAAACCAAATTTAATCTAGATAATTCCAAAGGTGTTTTATTCATAAACTAAACTTTTAAAATTCTAATCAACAGAAATATAAAAGTTACCCCCTTCACTGAAATTGAAATATAAAAGTTGTAGTTCTAAGAGAGTTATGTAATTAAATATTAGAATTTTTTCCTAGTCTTTTAATTTTGATCTTTATTTACTCATCATCACTTCTTATATTTTTTCAAAAATAATATTTTTTGCGGAATACTTTTTTAATGATTACTTACTGTAAAAATGTAAAGAACATCAGTGTTACGTCTGCTTGTGGTATATCTATCATAAATAAATTCATAATAAGTAATAAATTAAATGTTAATATTCACATTAATTTAGGCTATCATTTATTGTAATTTATTATCATAGAGCTTGTTCCAACTGTACGGTCTCTAAATATGTTTAAATTAATAGAAGCATTCAAACACTGTTGTAAATTTTTCAGATATCGATTGATACATTTTGAAACAGATGCTTAAAAAATTCATGTAATATATTTTTATGAAAAAAAAATTCTTTTTTGAAAATTAATTTTGCAATTTTGCATAAAAACAGTGGTCTGATTAATTTCTCGCACGTCGCCTCTTCCCCCCGCTCCCTTTTCCTGAAAGAATAAATTAGGAAGAAATCTCTCCGTTGCTGATAGTCCCGATTCTCATTTGGGACTATCACCCATCAGCAGTGATGCTGCTTTTTGGTTTGTGATTGTTACAAGTGTCTGTGTTACCAACAAAATTAATCATGGATTTGATAAATTGTCTAAGGATTGCGCTTTTGATGCACGTGATAGCAATTTCTGAAAGTCGGATTAGAAGAAAACCGAAACCAGCGGAAACTCAAAATGAGGAGGCGAGTGGAAAAATATCGCAAATACAAAATCAACAGCCGATTGCGAATTACGACGATTATTCATCTGAATACGACTATACTGATGAATACGACGAACACGGTAAGCTTTATTTGTTCTTTATTAAAAGAAATATAGCATTTGTCCTCGTTTACACGAGTTTAAACTAAAATAATTATTTTAGTAAAAAGAAATTAATAATAATAAGCTTTTCAGCACTAAAAATTAAAAAAAATCGTTTCTTAACTCCCTCAGAATGTTTTGAATATAACGTACAAACACAATAATAATTCTAAGTGAAAGAAAATATATTTTTTTTTAAGATTCTCTAGTAAGTAGGTAATTTAAAATTTTAATAGATGAAAACAGTAACAATCTACATGCATCGTTTATCACATTATTAAAAAAATATATATACCGATTCAGAAAAGTGCGATTTCGGTCTGTTCAAGTTTTTTGCGTTTCTATATTGCATAATATTAATAAATTTTTGCAAAAAAGCTTCAACAGCGCAGATTATTTCATTACAAAACTTTACTTTTTTTGTCAACTTTTTATTAATTTAAGCGTCAACGGAATCTAGACCTCGCGAAAATGGTATCACAACTCCCCAGCCTCCAGACGAACGTCCAATAAATGAGTTTACGACCGAAAGATTTTCACAGCCAGACAACGAGCGTCCCACCCCATCTTTGCTAATTCCAACTGGAACCGTAGACATCCACATTTTACACCCCACAAAACCGCCAACTGATAGTCACGTGGGGCCCTACAGCTGTCAACACAATGGAAAATTATACCGTGATGAGGAAAAATGGAGCGTTAACTTTTGCACAAATTGTACATGTGTACGAGGAAGCGTGGAATGTAAAACTGATGAGGACTGCAATAAGGGCATTAGACCAACTCGAGAACCTCAAGGTTTCGATATTGGCGCCGTTCCAGGACCTCGTGGTGAAATAGGATATCCGGGAGAAGCTGGACGGCCCGGAGAGTCGGGAGCGCCTGGATCTCCGGGCACTCCAGGAGTTCCCGGTCTGCCAGGTCCTCCGGGTCCCCCTCCAGACCTCACAGCATATTACCAACAATTGGCCCTTTCGCAAGGGAGTCAAGACAAAGGACCGAGTTTCCCGGTTGAGCCATTTCAGTATTTACAAGCACAGGTTGGACCGATAGGTCCTAGAGGTCCCCCTGGTCCGTCTGGATTAACAGGACCTCAAGGTTTTCAAGGAACGAGAGGAGAGCCGGGTGAAGGGGGACCCCAAGGACCGCCGGGGCCACCCGGACCGAGAGGATTACCCGGCCCTCCGGGAAAAGATGTAAGTGCTGAAAATCGGATAAATTTAAGTTTTTAATGATTTATTTAAAACAATTTTTTGATAGGGAGCTCCTGGAGAGGATGGTGAAGCAGGTCAACCGGGTGCAAGTGGTCCTCCTGGACCCAGAGGATTGCCGGGAATGCCAGGTTTACCAGGTGTCAAGGGCCATCGAGGATTTCCTGGACTCGATGGGGTTAAAGGGGAACAGGGACCTGCTGGTGAAAAAGGAATTCCAGGAAATCCAGGACCCGTTGGACCTACTGGTCCTGTGGGGCCTTCAGGGCCTAGAGGTGAACGAGGAAGAGAGGGTCCTCAAGGATCACCGGGGTTACGAGGGATGGATGGCATTGCTGGACCACCAGGACTCTCTGTAAGATTTTTTTGAGATATTTTTGTTACTAATTATAGAGACACGTTTTTTATATTAATTCTAATTATATTAATAACATTATTAGGGTGAAATGGGCAAGCCTGGTCCTCCAGGATTTCCCGGAATACCAGGTGCTAAAGGCGATCACGGAAGCCAAGGTCCCAAAGGAAGTCAAGGATTACAAGGGCCGCGGGGGGAATCAGGCCGTCCCGGACAACCTGGAGAAACCGGGCTTCCGGGAATTCCCGGAAAAGATGGCTCTCCCGGAGAGAAAGGCAACCCAGGAGCGCCTGGTATATCAGGTCCTCCAGGATTCCCCGGTGTTCGCGGACTTCCGGGAATAAACGGTAGTCCAGGACAACCGGGAGTGAAAGGCAATCAAGTATGTAATATTATAAGTTATTCCAGAAGTATACTGGACTGTTTTAAAGCATTAAAATTATCAGACATTAATAAATAATGCAAATTGTTTTTTTAGTGTATTTTAACATTACTCGTGGGTATTCATATTACAAAATTTTACGAAAGCATAATATCTTCCTGTTTATTATTTCTTGTTAGTTTTAATGCATACGTAGTATTTAGAAAACTCCATTCTATCAGTCGAGAAAACTAAGCGAACATTTAATGCAATATTAACAGAGATATAATTTAGGGTAGTCCGGGTGTACCGGGATTCAAAGGAGAGAGCGGAACTAAAGGAGAAGCCGGTGCCCCTGGTCCTAGAGGATTACCTGGAGTTCCCGGTTCGGAAGGAAAACGCGGAAAAAGAGGAATGAGAGGCCCACCCGGATCTGCAGGTCCACCTGGAGAGAGAGGAATGCCTGGAGCAAGAGGGCTTCCCGGTCCGGATGGAGCAGTCGGACCGAAAGGCCAAACAGGTGATAGAGGCGCTGCAGGACCTCCGGGACCCAAAGGATCCCTCGGTGAACCTGGAAGACCTGGAGCTGTGGGACCTCAGGGTTTACGAGGATTAACGGGTAGGCCTGGTCCCCAAGGAAGATCGGGACCTCCGGGTGAAAGAGGAGTGCCAGGTGCGGACGGAAAACCGGGAGAAACTGGACCACAAGGTCTTCAAGGTCTCCCGGGACCTTTAGGACCGCCAGGTGACAAGGGATTGCAAGGAGAGACGGGGAAAGATGGCGAACCGGGGCTACCGGGACCACCAGGACCACGTGGTGATAATGGTAAAGATGGAGTGATGGGACCTCAAGGACCGCCAGGACCTCCAGGAGTGGATGGTGAGAGAGGACCACCTGGTGTTACTGGTCCTAGAGGCTTTCAAGTGAGTAAAAATGGTCGTCTTAGTCAAACGTAATGACCTTTTTTTGGTTTCAGGGTTTACCGGGAGCACCGGGAAATCAAGGAATGCCTGGAAAAGATGGCGAACCGGGATTGCAAGGACCACCGGGAGTTCCTGGAAATATTGGGCCTCGAGGCGAAAGAGGATTTCCCGGTGAAAGAGGACCGGTTGGACAACCGGGAACACCGGGTCTGAAGGGTAATGTCGGATCACCAGGTCCAGATGGTATTCAAGGCCCACCGGGGCCTCCGGGCAATAAAGGACATTCAGGGGCACCAGGTTTAGTCGGTTTACCTGGATTGCGAGGACAGCCTGGTCCTCAAGGAGAGAAAGGCGAAAGGGGATCATTCGGTCCTATAGGTCCCGAAGGACCACCTGGTCGACAAGGTATAATCCATTACATTGCTAAAAAATCGTTACTTTTTCATGGTTTCTTAGGTGAAAGAGGCCAACAAGGGCTAATGGGTCCACCAGGACCTCCCGGTGAACCTGCAGAAAGAGGCGAACCAGGTCCTCCTGGCTTACCCGGTGAATCAGGAGCTCCAGGTGCCCCTGGCGAGAGAGGCCCTGTTGGTTCTCCAGGCTTACAGGGTTTCCCCGGACCTCAAGGATTAATTGGTTTGCCTGGATTAAAAGGCGATAGAGGAATACCGGGATTAAAAGGAATGCAAGGAAGCCCAGGGCATGTCGGTAAACCGGGAGAACAAGGACCACAAGGGCCAATCGGTTTAACGGGTGCAAAAGGTGCTCGTGGAGAAGCAGGACCACGAGGAGACGCAGGATTAATGGGACCTCCAGGTCGTCCGGGAGATTCAGGTCCACCAGGTCATCCCGGAAATGCTGGCCCACCGGGTCCAGCAGGATTGCCTGGAATCAAAGGCGCTTCGGGCGATGCTGGGAAAATGGGACTTCCTGGACCACAAGGCTTACCAGGTCCACCTGGATTAGAAGGACTAAAAGGCGAAACGGGAGCTGAAGGAGCTGTAGGACCGCCAGGACCTCAAGGACCGGCTGGTTTGTCAGGTGATAGAGGTTTACCGGGACTTCCCGGTCCTCCGGGATCACCAGGAATGAGAGGAATGAGAGGAGCACCTGGCGAAGTGGGTACTCCCGGAAAACCCGGAAGTGAAGGCGCTCAAGGTCCACCGGGATTAACTGGACCTCCAGGACCACCTGGTCCTACCGGAGAACAAGGTCCAGAGGGACCTACGGGAAAACCCGGAATGCCAGGTGTGGTAGGAAGAACAGGAGATAAAGGCCCTGTAGGACCAACAGGTCCTCCTGGTCCTTCGGGCTCTCCAGGCTTACCGGTAATCCACCTTCCTTCAACAATTGTGTTTTTTTCATGCATGAAAATTACTTAAAAATTGTATGTTTTAGGGTCCTCCAGGCCCACTTGGTCCCATCGGATTATCAGGCGAGAGGGGTCCCCGGGGAGAAACCGGCCCTCAGGGGTCTGAAGGTCCCCCAGGTGAAAGAGGAAAACCAGGAGTCCCTGGGTTAGAGGGCAAAAAAGGAGACCGCGGCGAGCCAGGACCAGCAGGCTCCAAAGGCCATCGCGGTTTAATCGGCCTTCAAGGCCTTCCGGGTTCTCCAGGTCTTCCCGGCGAAAAAGGCTCACCGGGGAATCCCGGACCACCTGGCAAAGACGGCGAAACCGGCCCCAGGGGACCGCCAGGAAGAGACGGAAGTCCTGGACCACAAGGAGTCCCTGGTCTCGTAGGGCCCCGCGGCAGTAACGGAAACGACGGCAAAAATGGCCCAGCCGGTCCTCCGGGTCCCCCAGGCCCACCTGGACCTCCAGGAGATGGCCTAGGTTACGATGCAGCCAGTTTAGCAGCGCTACTAGCCCAAGGACAGGTGAATAACCAGAAAGGACCGGATCCACTCGGTGACGAGCCTGCTAGAATTTTCGGAAAATCGATGTCTGAACAACAACGCAGAGAATTCGTAATTAAGGCCTACGAGCAGTTGAAGACCTCTTTCGAGAAGTTTAAGAAACCAAATGGGGAGAAGAATAATCCAGGTACCACTTGCAAAGACATTGCGAATGCTTATCCGGAATTGAAAAGCGGTAAATAAATAAACTTTAATCGTATGGAATTGTTATTTTGAACAATTATCAGGGCAATATTGGGTCGATCCGAATGAAGGTGATCCCAAGGATGCGATTCTAGTTTACTGTGATATGGAGCAGAAAAGTACTTGTATTGTGCCAAAGCCGGAAAAATCACCCGAAATTTATCACAAGGGAAAAGAATCGGAAATATGGTTAGGGGAAATTAAAGGCGGCTTAAAGGTAACAAAAAATATTCACTATCTTACACAACCACTCAACATTATTTCAGATTTCCTACAAAGCGCACAGCAATCAAATCGGATTTCTACAACTCCTGTCTTCACACGCCCAACAAAACATTACTTTTAACTGCAAAAATACAGCAGCTTACTATGACGCTGCGAGACACACGTACAAAAAAGGGATAAAACTAATGGCTTGGAATGACGTGGAGTTAACTCCCAGAGGTAATGCCCGATTGAGATATGAAGCACTAGTCGATGAGTGCAGAGTAAGTTGTCTTATTTCGTGCTCGACGAAACAGTCAAATATGTGAAATTTTCAGTTTCATACAGACACATGGGCCAAATCAGTATTGTCTTACAAAACAGATAAGACAACAAGACTACCAGTTGTAGATGTGGCAATCAGAGATATAGGAAGACCGAACCAGGGGTTTTCAGTCGAAGTTGGACATGTTTGCTTTTCTTAAGGACTTACACACAACACTTACATTTCACTGCCACTGTATATAGAAGAGTATCTTAAATGTTGTAAAATTTTATATTTTCTATTGATTTTCATAAGGTGCTATACAAAAATGTATTTTAATATAATTTAGATTAAAGAATAAATTCTTGATTAAAAATGTATCCTTTCATTATAGTTGGATATGACTAGATATAACAAATTAGAGGAATTTATTAAAACAATAAGTCCACATACATATCAACTTTATTAAGACAGCAACATACGGAATGAATGACAAAAAAAATTACAGGTCACTCATAAAAGCTAATTACCTAATCATTCAAACTAAATAAAAACGTTTATTTTACACGTCACTCCGACTTATCGCTCGAATTTTGCCTTTTCATCGACTTGAGAGCCTTTTCTCTCAACTTTTTCTCATCGTCGTTAACAACTTCAACGTCACTGTTATCAGAGTCTTCACTTTCTACCTTTTTCTTCTTGTGTTTCTTATGCTTCTTTGAGTGCTTCTTCTTCTTTTTATGCCTTTTATCTTTTTTGCGTTTTTTCGATTCAATTTCTTCATCAGAATCGCTGGCCGATTTCGTAACTTTCTTTTTACGTTTCCGTTTTTTCATTTCTTCTTCACTGTCTGAAGAACTGTCCCTTCGGTGTTTCTTTGATTTATCTTTATCGACTTTCTCAATTTCAGAATCATCAGAACTGTCGACTTTCTTTTTGCTTTTACTCTTAGGGACGTCGCTGTCACTTGAATCATCTTTTTTAGATTTTCGGCCTTTTTCGGAACTATCAGAACGTGCGCGTTTCTTCTTTATCTTCTTATCATCTTCCGAATCGGAACTCTGATGACGTTTCTTCTGATTTTTTTCTTCGCTGCTGTCGCGTCTACTTCTCTTACCATCTTTGCCTTTCTTGCTCTTAACTTCCACTTCGGGACTGCTATCTTTATCCTTCTTCTTAGATGAGTACTCAACCTCACTATCACTGGAACTCGAATCGCGTTTCTTCGTCTTCTTCTTTGCCTTTATCTTCTTTCTCTCCCTCTCTCTTTCTTTTTGTCCCTCACTATCTGAATCACTTGAGTTTGAATCAGTCTCACTCTTTGAAGGTTTCTTTGTAACCTTCTTAGTTTTCAATTCAGCCTTTTCTTTGAGTTTCTTCTTATCGTCCTTTGTCGATGCAGGAACTGTCTTGGTTTTAGGCGGAAATTCGTTTGCCTTTATGAACGGCGACGGCGTCCTAGACAAGCTTCTCGAATATCTCGGCGGGCCGTGAGGAGGAATCAAATTATGATCCTCGGGACTGATACTTCTAGACTTTGATTTCTTCCTATCTTTAGATTTGAATTCGCTTTCGGTTTGACTATCAGAAGTACTAGCCTTGCGTTTCTCTTCCAACTTCTTCTCCGGCTTGTGAAGATCTTCACCTCTCTTCGAATCATCAATTCGACGGAAAGATTCTTCTTTCCTCTCTTCCGGTCTTCTGACAGACGGCCGGGAACCACGTGACTCGTCCCTTTGGTCGCGACGATCATTTCGAGTTACAGGACTCGGACTAGGTTTACGTAGTCGTTCCCTAGATTTACCTCGGATTGGAGATTTTCTTCTCAAACTTCCCCTGTCTCGAGATGACCTCCTTCTAGACCTCGACCTTCTATCTCTAGACCTGGAGCGTCTCCTTTCGCGGGAAAGTCTCCTGTGGTTACGGTCACGGCTTCTGCTGCGTCTAAGCCTCCTAATTCAAAACACCAATATATTAATACAAGAAAAAATCAAGTAAAAAATTATGAAAATGAACAAGAAGTATAAACTAACCTATCACGGCTGCTCCTCCTTCGACTAGGACTGCGCCTCCTCCTGCTAGGACTCCGGCGGCTCCTGCTGCGTCGTCCTCTTCTGTTCCTGCTCAAACTCCTCCTTCTGCTGTAGCTGCGTCTCCTGCGAGGACTCGCTCTCCGAGGGGTGCTCCGCCTTGAACGTGAGATGCTCCTCCTTCGTCTACTTAGACTCCTCTTGCTTCGCGATGGACTACGTCTGGAAGCAAAAATCTATCTGTAATTTGAAGTAAAAATTAAAAACTTAAAACTAACAACATACAATAAAATATGTAACAAGAACTGCCTTTCAATTTGGAATAGCTGTTTCTCATAAAATGAGAAATTGAATAAAAATACAAAATTTTATTGAGATTGATGAAACCATTCCAGTTATGGTAATTAAAAACAGTTTTTGTGGTCCAGTTGGCAATGGAAAAAGGATTTTTGTTCTCAAATGTCAAAAATACATTTTAAGAGCAGCCAGCCATAGCCAACTGAAATACCTTTTTTGTCCTACAACAAAGAAAAACTAGATGTTTCTTCAAATAATAAAGCAGATTCTGTTCCAAAAAATAATGGCCCAGCTAAGAATTTTGTCCAAAAACCAAAAAAATACATCACAAACATGTTAATAAACAACTAAAAAAAGTAGATATACATGTCCTTTTTGCCAACAATTAAGTGAATTATTATAAAAATAAAAAGTCTTAGCTATGATTCGCTGTATATCAAACTTAATAAAAACAAAAAAATTCTAATTCAAGTGTCAAATAGAAGAAATTTGTTTTGAATATTTAGAAGTGTTGAACAAAACCCACGAACCACTGACACAACACTGTTAAAAAAATGACTACATACCATGTCATAAAATGACAACTTAACTTTGTATCCTTGTTTTTAACGATAAAAACACATAATAGAAATAAAAATCCCACCTTCTCGAAAGACTCCTCTTTCGGCTAAGGGACCTCTTCCTGGAACTGCTCCTCTTCCGCGACAAGCTCCTCTTGCGTCTGGGACTTTTATCCCTGCTGTTTTTCCTAGCACGTCGCGGCGACTTCGAAAGCGACTTCTTCCTCTTGCCCTTGTCCTGGTCTGGTTCGCTGTCGGAGCTGTCCTTGTTGGATCTGTAGTGCCGTTTTTTCTGAACGCTGTTCTCCTTCTTCCTGATCTCGAAATTGTCCTTGGATCCATCGGAACTAGAACGTGAGCGGCGTTTCTCCTTGTCCTTGGAGAGGGAGCGCGATTTACGGTCCTTCGATGCTCGTGGACTAGACGACGAACGGGATCTCGAGTGCGATTTGCTGGGCGACTTGGAACGTGAGACGGACTTCGAACGGGACCGAGACACCGATTTCGAACGGGAACGGGAGTTACGTTGCTGCTGTTGCTTGGCGTTGCCGCCGGCCATGGACATCAACTTCGCTTGAAGCTTTGAAACGGGCTGGGAACTCTCTCTATGACAGTAAAGGCAATGTTAAATCTGACCTAATTAGTGTAGAAAACGGATAATAAAAAACAATTATAATCTCAACGAACTCAACATTACATGGTCGAGTTAAGTTAAACGAAGTGCATGATTACATAAAAAAAACTCAAAAACTACTAAAATATGTAAATTATACGCATATTAGAAACGTCAAAGATAATAATAATGAATCTCGCACAAGTCAAAGAACCAGTTTCCATTTTTTTTAACCTCTTCAAACTATTACTCTTTACAGGAGTTTTTTAATTGTTGCAATTCTTTTTGATTGCACAATAGTAATTACATTTTTAAGCTTTTTATAGCCAATAACACTGAGGCACTTTTTTACAGCCATAATATAGTTTTTATAGTAATTTTTTTTTAAATTGCTGTTGTACTCAAGCTAAGATAGATTAATTTAAAATACAACAATTTAAAAATATTTTTTGTTGGCAAAGAAATGCACTAGGAAATAAAACCTGTGTTTACTATGATACAAATATAAAAATTCTATTAATAAATACACATTTACCGAGACACTGATACAGTGGTGTTTAATGTGAAAAAACAAAAACAAAATATGAACCTATAAAGTTTACGCCATAAACATAAAAAGTTATACCAAGTGAGATAGTTTAATAATAAATAGTATATGTATCATTCAAGGAGTATCTACGACTATGAAATATTTTCGATTTTTGATATTGATAAAGTTGACGTTTTAATTTAATTAATAAAAATGTCAAATTCTGTGCAAACAGTAGGCCATACTGGGAAGAATATGAATTTATATTCCGCGGAGTGTAATCTGAACTTAATTATGTGTCTATGGATACGCCTATAATAACATAATTATTTAAGAGTCGTACTAAGTGTAAGTACCTATTTCACTAGATAACAAAATTAAAATTTCTGGTTATTTACAAAAACTTTCTGTTTCAGTTATCTAGATAGATAACAATGTAAACATGTTCACCACATAACACGTCCGCTTACATTTTAACATTTCATCATATGATTAAAGCTGAATCATCAATACATGTTGACACTGAATATTTCTTACTAAGTAGTTAAAAATCACAATAAAATTAAACATTTTTTATTCCATTTTTCTTAATTCTTCAAAATCCAGTTGATTTTTTAAATAATCCGATAATAAAATTGACCCAACCTGCCAACTAAAGTAAATATGAATAAATAATGAATTAATAGAATTTTGAGCGTCATGAAAATGGTAATCATATTTTCTAGCCTGAATTAATCATTTCATATATTATTCTTCAAGATACTACAACGACCTAAATAAGACTGTAATAATTTAATATCACAGATCCAATTTATTAAAGCAATTTATCAAATTCTTCACTTACCAAACTATGTTGTTAATGATACATAGCAAAATTAATTAGTAAACAAAACTTACGAATTATGTTTAGAATTGGCAGTACTGCTTTCCAATTTGGCAGAATCCTCTCTGCCATTATTCTCCCGTTCGTTGGGACTTGCGTTACCGTTGTTTCTTGAATCATCAATCTTGATCCTGGATCTGGAACGGCTCCTTGACCTCTTGTCCTTCCCTCTGTCGTTATTCCTGCTGGATCTTTCAGCCGAGCGCCTCCTGGGTCGCGATCTTGACCTTGATCTTCTCCTAGACCTAGACCTGTCCCTATCCCTGTATTTCTTTTCTTTATCCGATTTCTCGCGTTCGCGTTCTTTCTCTCTTTCCCTGTCCCGGTTTTCGCGGTCCTTTTCTTCTTTTTCCTGTTGCAAAATAAACGTTACTTTAGCCAAAATTTAATTCATTTATTACAAACCTTCTTTTTTATAATTTCTTCACGCTTCAAGTCCAATAATGAATCAGGGATGCCAGATGGGTTCTCCTGTGCTGATATCAACAATGCCCACAGCTCCGCCATAAATTCGCGCGCGTTTTTTCCATGAAGGAATCCCGTAAGATTGATTTGAATCTTTTTAGGATCAGGAAACTGCAATGTAAATATTTTAGTAAACGGGTTTTATGTTTGTAATGATGAAGTACCTTTTCATCTAGTTGATTATAAACAAAATCAACCACGACGTCGTCATCAATTTTCAAGATTTCCGTCAATTTGTCTTGAATCCATGGTTTTATGACATCAAGTTTAATTTTGGACATATCAACCTGCAAATTAAGCGTTTTATCATGATGCCTACGCTAACTAGTCTTAATTTACCCTTTGACTCAAACAATCGCTGAATTTCATTTGCTTCAGAAGCTTTTTTTCTTTATCGCTGAAGCGATTGTCTTGCTCGGTGGTTGTGCCCTGAAACAAGCATTTTGTTTACAACGATAATCCCTTAAAAATATTTGACAGTTCTATTAATAAACACCAAGAGGGAAACATAATCCATTTCCCAAAAACTTACCGTATACATCATCATAAAGTCCGGAAACGTTCCTTTTGTTACAAACTAACAAAAACCACTAAAATGATTAAATCAAGAAACGAGAACTAACAGCGACGCCGGTACTTAACTTCACGATTTACACATAATTACATTTTTCACATGATTTAATGTAACACTAAATTACAGTGATTAATGTAAACTCCCGATGAATAAGATTCACAATAAAAAAATCATCGTTTTCTCACAATTTCTGGTTTACGGATTCTACAAATCCATGTTGCTTCCAACAAAATGGCGTGGCGTCATGGCGTCAAATTTGTTGATAAGTGAAAATTCTGCTTTACCAGCCAGAGTTCTATTTTATTCGCCGAGCTGAGCGCCAAATCCGGCGTATTTTTGTTGTAAATTATGACATGGTCCGTGGTACACTTGGTTGCAAAAAAATCGGAAATTGTCAAAGCATAAAAGTGTCAGATTTTTATATTTATCCATAGTTTGAACATAGCTTGATTTTAAAATGTTAAGTTAGAACTGACAGTTAATCTGTAGTACTCACTACTCATTGGGTTTTCACGTAAGTAACTAATTATGAATTAATTGTTTATCTTGATTTGCATTTGATGCTCTCGACATTTAAATGTGGCATTGCAGACAAAAATTATTTGAATGCGACAGATGACAAATCGGACACGGACAAAACCTGTTTCAATTTAAAGAAAATTCTATTTTCCGTTTTTATTGCAACCAACTATACGATTTCTATGAATAAACACCAAAAACATCTTACTTAAGCAATTATCCCATTAAATAATCTTTGCATCGTAATGTTAATCATTCATTGGCATCTAATCTGTGGCCAGACTTGGCATCTAACAATTTTTTTTTGGGATATTTAAAAACAAAAATTTATACAAATGTTCCAATGCAAAATGTAGAAGAGCTGAAAGAACGTATTTGTTTCGATTGGGTTATTGTTTGGACCTGCAAGGAAAGCATTTTGAACACTTGGTTTAATTATTTAATATTTTTCTTGTTTTGAGGGGTTTTAATTTTTTTTTAATTAATATTTAATTACATTTACTTTGTTGTTTTTAAAAGTTTGTCTTTGTAATATTGATTGCCTATGCCTAGACTAACGGCTAATTGTAATCATAGCAACATTGAAGTTGACACGGTTTTTTTAAAAGCTATACGTCATCTGCGTTGATTGACAGTAAGTAAGTACTGTCAATCAACACAGACAACGGGGCTATGTATACTAATAAAAAAATGTTCCTAGATAATCTACGAAGTCATCCAGAAAGACTGAGTCTGTTGGCAACAGATTTGAAAGTATTTTTTATTATACCTGCATCATAGTCCTAAATTAAAACACGCTGCAGCGTGCGTAATTTGGCCTTTATAGCACGCTGAAATTTTAAAGTTGTCTAGGTAATACAGGTTAAAATGCTCTACTAGAAGCAGTTTTTAAGCGTTTCTACTTAAACTAATATGACTGAGTGCCTGGAAATCACTCTGAGCATCTAATTTCGCTAACCTTTGATTTTAGATCTACGTTGTTCTTAAGTTATAATTTTTGAATTGCAAAAGGTCGACACTGTAATTTACTATTTATCCAAGTCGTTATAAAGTTTTTTTATTATATCTGCATCATAATCCTAAATTAAAACACGCTGCAGCGTGCGTAATTTGGCCTTTATAAAACGCTGAAATTTTAAAGTTGTTTAGGTAACAAGAAATAGTGAAATGTCTGGACCAATTACAACGTGAAAAAATGTGCTTAACAACGTAAACTAGTAACGGTCTCTACGAAAACGATTCACAAACAACCTTTGATAATTTTATTGTGTAAATTCACATTTTTTCAGTGCTCATAAAAGATCGTAAATGGGCAGGTATAATAAAAAATAGCGTATAACACTCGTTTATAAGCAAGCCTTTAAAACAGTTACGACGTTAAAAGCACTCCGCTAACGCGTCGTGCTCTTAAACCCGTCGTGCGTGCTTTAAAGGCTTGCTTATAAACAAGTATTATAATATTTGTTAATAATTTGAAACACTGCAACCGGATACGGTTTTGCTTGACAAATACTTGACGTAAAACCCCATAAGTTTGTTGAATTGTTCTTAATCAAATGCGTTACTCTAATGGTAAGCTTTAAAAATTAGGGTCAGGATTGCCAACATATTCAGTCATTGCATGTGGATCACTTTGCATCTGTTCTGTGATATAGATGTTCCGAAAAGAAAGGTTTTAGGGTGGTACAGTCTGGTCTTTGAGGGAATTTTGACATTGACAATTGTTTAAAAAAAATTGAATTTAGAACACTCATATTTGTTTGAAAATCGAACGAAAAAAAGTAAAACGGTTCTAAAAACAAGATTCTGTAAAAATTCGTCGATGAACTGTTTTTCAGCGGTCATTCACTCTGACTTTCTGACTCATTTTTACAGGGGGTATCTAAACTACATGAATATATTTTGAGTATTTGAGAAGCAGACTTCCAAAATGCAGTTTGTCCATTTTTTATTAATTGAGATAAAGGTGGCACTGCAGGCTATATGCAATATGCAATTGTCTTTCCAATGAACCTTTCCTGGAGGTTCAAATCACATTTTGTCCTATGTTAAAAAAATATTGGAACTTGCCTTGACATTCAAACTACATTTAGTATTTAGTCCCATGTGTTGATTCAAACAAAACGCGTTTTGTCCGTCAATTTTGGACTAAATGCAGTTTGTTTGACGCACTACAACACTTAAAAAAAATAACAGAAATAAGCGCTGCCAAAAGAATTTTTACTCAAAAGAAGTCACACCACCAAATAAGTACTCATTTAAACCGATGAAGAATGGGCATGTGGAGATGAAGAAAAGGTGCAACATGTACAAATTTGTTTATTAAAGAATACATAAATTCCAAAATAAAGTTTTGGCCTTTAAATAGCCCTTAAATAGCATTAAGTCCCCCTTTGACAATCAAACTGAATTATGTCCAAAACATATTTATGTTTTTTTTTGTAAAATCCCTAAGTACTCCAGCCGTAAAATTAGTGTACAATTTGTACCTACATGTTTTTTCACATTTATTGGCATTGGTATAAAACATCAAAATTATTTCTTGAAAGAAGGACAGTTTTTGCTCTCTACTGCAAAAATACAAATTTGGACAAACTGCTTTTTGAAAGTCTGCTCTTCATTTGTACTGATGCTTTATAGACACACCTATTTTTCAAATAAAATAATAATTGGAAATAATAAGGCAAACAACCTGCTCCATTTTGTATTTTTCATAGAATTCAAAACTGATGTTTCAATAAAAAAAGTTGTTTGTCATTTTAACATGGCTAAATTTTTTGAAACCACAAATTGGTTGCTTTGGGAGTCCAGATTCAAACAAGTATAATAGTAGGCATTCAATGAACCGTGATGGTCCATCAACTATTACCTAGTCATCTGTTATAATAGGAAAACAGGGTGTTCTCCCACTTAGCAACTGTTCTTGTTCTTTAATCCCTCCCAGGTACAACATTATATCATTTCCGTTTCACAAGTTCAAGAACAACTTAGTCTTCAGTCTACTGGCACACTTCAAAGAAATTATTTCGTGTCGCACCAGATCAATTTTCATATCGAACCACTCGTGCAAAAGTGACCACAGTGCCAGTTGAGTGAAAAAATAACGAAAAAAAAATTGGCGACTCAAATATGGATTGGCAATTTTGAAGTGAAACGTACCGAAAAATAACAGTTCGTTTGCGTTGTTTATAATTTTTTCAACTCAAAAAGTGCCAGAATAGATACAGGATGGCCATTAGTAAAAATACAGTTTTTGCGGTAAGTATCAATTAAAATTCGCAAAGTTTATCCGGTTGTCCAGGGCCGCATTGGCTCAATTCGCGCGAGATATGTAGATTTACCGATATTCAAAATATTTGCCCTCTGCAGCCCACATAAACGCCGAAGAACAGTTATATGATGAGGTCAATGATCAGGTATCGCTTTGAGTAGGTACGTACTTGGACAGGTGGTCAATGTAATGCACAGGACAGTGTCGGATTTAGGTTATTTTACCCATCAATCGATGATTTTCGAAAAACCAGTGATGTCATCTTGTTGGGTATTTAGTCAGGTATTTCGTAGGTATTGTGTGAGATGACTTCGGAATGAGGTTGAGATGGAAATTAAACGGTACTTTTCGTGATTAATTTTTAAAAGACCCACTGCCAAAGACGCGCTCAAAATTCATGTCACGAAGTTTAAGTCGTTTCTATGCTTATCGAAGAGTTTTAATTAGGCCTCATAAATAGCAATTACAGTGTTCGATGGAATATAGTTCAAAAAATGCCGCTAATTTAATTATGTCGTGCGACTTTTCTTCGTTCAGATAACATCGTGAGTTGGAATAATAAACCAGAAAATTGTAAAACAGAGGTACTTGAACTACACGACAAAATTGTAATTATAACAGGACAATGTAAACAAGCAAAATTTAAGCTGAAACACGAAAACTAAAGTAAATCCGTCTAGTTGCATGTTTTAATAATCCTATAAATGTGATGCAAATTGTAATTGAAAGATTTGTTAATTACAAGTATTCATGTCTTGGTATACTCAATAGCAGACACTGAGCAAAAGTGTTAAACATATTCTCTGTTTAAAACAATTAACAAGGATTTGTTACATTGTCATAAAAAAGTTTCCAAATGAAACAAAATGTGTACTTTGTATTTCATTTATCGTCTGAATGTCGTTAACACGAAATTTTAGAAATTAATTTATCACACAGCTAATCAACCAACATAATGTATAATTTATTACGTTTTACTTTTATTAACCATCAGCTAGTCTAGACATAAAGTTATTAATTATTTTCTATGAATGTGTTATTACTTTGGAAAAGCATAATCTTCATTTTATTATAGTTTACCGTAGAAAGTTTAATATGCATCCTAGCAAAATTTATTTAGTTGAACACCTGTTTAATTTATTTAAATGAAACGAACTATAACAGTAAATAGATTTGTAATGGACACCTGGAATCGCGAAAAATTCCACGTTTTACAATTTTTAATCTAAATAAAAAAGTAAAATCATTATCTAACAAAAATTTGTTGCTTTGTTCTAATATTACAACTTATAATTTGTTAAATTACTAGGTCTTAACTAATTTCAGGAAATGATCAAATTTAATTATGCTTTAAAAATAGAAAGAAGCTTTTTACAAATGATTTTAAGTTAAAAACGGACACTCTAAAAAACTAATAATTCCTTGTGTTTGGTACCTATTATTGGTATAATCACAAACAATTTTCAGTCGCCTAAGGCGAAACAGTATTTAGGTAACCTACTTTAAAACTAAAGCAATTACGATTTTCAAAAATGTAAACTGTTACACTATTTTTACTAAAATGATTATAATGTTTGATGCTTGCACAGAAATTGTATATTGCAATTTCAAATACCAGTAACTCAAAAATTGAATATAACTCAATTAAACATAATTTCTACATAGATATAAGGTACCTAAGTTAAGTGACACTTATTCATTCTTTTCATTTATAAGTTTGTTACGTGTGTTTTCTGTTAGGTAGTCTAAATAATAGAAATTTATACGTTTCAGCAAATGTTAATTTGTTTTATGTTTTTTTTTTTGTATTTCCACATAGCTATACGCGAATACATTTCTCTGAGCGACTAAATAATGAAATCTAAAACTTGTAAATTAAGAATTTTTTAAAAGCATCATCTTTTTTTAGACAAAATGATATTGAAATGAAACTATTCTGCAAAAAGATAAATCATTATTTTTCTGTGTTCATAATCAAATGAAAATTAAAAGATTATTTTAAGTTGTGTACGTATTTTAAATATTTTCTTGTTTACTATTATTTGATAATTATTGTAATTTGGTTAGCATTTTTTTTACTTTATGAAATTATAGAAATAATACAACAAAATTGGATGTTTAGTCGGCAATTTCCAGTTAGCAATTTAAAAAAGTTACATCTAAAACAACTTTTTTGAATACCGAAATCGAATCTAAAAATTGGACCGTAAAATATTTTTTCAAAAGTTCAAAACCGTTTTCATAAATAATATACTTCTACAAAACCTGCTTCGTGCTTTTAGACATTTGACCATCTTTATGAGCCGTGAGTCATAGTGCAAATAACCAGTTCCTTTTGCTTCAAAATTATGAACAAGTATCGCACTTATCTGATTTACTGAAACGTAGTAAAGTTCATTCAAAGTGCTTGATTCGCGGTTTCAGTAGAGGTGAAGCAGAAAATCGTGCTATTTTATTGCCGACAACTTGAGTATAATGACCAGTGATTAATGTGCTTTTCATGTAGATATAAACCATTCATTTTTAACATAACCGACAAATTATTTATTGTCACTTCAAAAACAGGAAGTCTAAAAGTCCGCCATTTAGTGATACTTTATTTATAGACAACTGTATAAAGCGCACAAACCGCATCATTAGTCCTTTATGATTGCTGTAGTGATGTCACGTGCCAAACATTCATTATACACCAGCTACACATCAAACAATAAAAAGAGACAATGCAGGATAATAAATCTATTTCTTTATGAAGCTGCTTTATGCTTGCCAGTAATAATAAATCAACCTCAAAGTTATTAAGGAAGTGACTACCATAAAATCTTATTTTTGAAAATTGGCAAGACCGTGATTTTCTCCTAACTTTCCCATTTTTTTTCAGATTGTAACAGTATTAATATCTTCTGTAAGCACAGCCTTAGGAAAAATACCCACGCAATGCCAGGGAAGTGGTGGGCTTAAATATCTATGGGGCGATGCTTTGACAGACTCGCCCAATTGCCTCGGACCCAACGACACCCCCTATCCAACGTAAGTCGGAATAAACAAAATTAACAATAAATAACCTACTAAATAGTATTTTATCCACTGTCCAGTTCAGCCATCGAGAGGTCGTTTAGGAGCTCAAATGCGTGGCCTGGAAGCTCAAGACAAGGCAGATCCCGAAAAACGATCGATCCGTTTATCACCCAGAAAGCTCTACTTGCCGCTCATGAATACAATTTCGATTCAGCATCGATTTATAGGGCAGGTATGATTGAGATTTATGTAATTTTCTGAGACGGATGTGAAAAAACTGATTAAAAGAGTTGTCTAGTTCAGTTGTAATAAATTTGCGCTACTAATACAATTTCTGTTACGGTTATTTCTCTATAATAAATAACCACGGAATAATATCAATTAAGCGTCCAGTGTTAACGGAAAAAAGGTGAGAACTTGTTCGATAACAGTTCTGTAACTGAACTAGCCATATTGTTAACTTCATGAATATGTTTGTGTACTGCAAGCTAACCCAAATATTACCGCAAGCGACACACTTTGGTTTTTCTTTACTTAGTAGACGACTTGGCAAACTTTAACTTTCAAATTCGTTGGATCAATTAGGATTTATTGTCGGTATGGACGACTTTTTATTCTCATTCCACGCCATTATGCACAGCAATTATTCTACTACTTCCTCCTGACGTGAGAACATGTGCACGGATTGTTACTTTTTGCCATTATCATTTAATGAACGTGACATGATTTTCAAAGCATTATACAGCAAACATTTTTTCGAAAAACAATGTCAAGCATCGCTCTAATATTTCAGTTATTATTAAAGGTGCACATTCATTTTCACTTTTCATTTCTTCGCCAACCAATATTCGACCGTTTACATACTCGCTGAAGCATAGAAACATTATCTCAAAAATCTTTTCAGCGAGAGCCGCCAACGTGTCCCCCGCCAACACCTGTACTGGGACCCCCTCCCGGCTTTGTAAAACTCGTTACAACACCACAGCCCCCATGTACGGCGTGTCGCTGACTTCCGGACAACCCGTCACGATCGTGCAAAAATTCCCCGATCTGCTGCAACAAGTCGTTTTTGAGGTAAGCAAATCGTTTTTTTTTTTGTAAATTTATGATTTATTTTTTCAGGTTTGTGAAAGTTCGGAATGTGACGTCGTTCGAGGCGAATGCACCCAAACCTATGTCCCATACTTGTTCCTGGTTATCCCTCTAGGGCCTGTTACTCTGACGGGACAAGATTATGTGTTAGTTGAGAGTGGGTGTGTGTGTAGACCGAAATATGCGTCACAAAATAACCAAGAGGCGAGTGCGATGGCTTCGATACCGAGATTGTAACGAGGGGTGTAAAGGATAAGTGCTATTAAAAACAAAATTATTCATGTGCTCATACTTGATTTTTTACGTTTTGTAAGATATTTATTAAGATTTAATTAATTTATGTTTTATATATATATATATTTATAATTATTAATAAAAGATATATTTTTATATAGTCTTATCCTCCGGAAACAAAATAGGGTAGAATTAATAAAAAATCGCATCTTCATATGAAATATGCTATTTTTTCACGAAGAAAAAATATTCTTACATTCACATTAAACAAAACATACAACGTAATAATACAGAACTTTCAAACAGGAACACCAAAAAAATATTTTTTTAAATGTACATCATAGTAATGTTAAGGTCAGACATGGACAAACACTTCCCAAAAAAATTGCAATTCATTTATGACATCACAGATTCAGTAACTTAATTATAAAAATTGCATCCTATTACTATAAAAAGATTGATTACCGTTAAACAAATCGAAATTCGTTCTTTTATTATTTATAATTTTGACTGATACTGTGTTGAAAAAATCTAGATCTATTCAAACTTAATAGAATTAACAGATGTATCTATAACACCACCTCGATACGATCCGCGTTTTTTCTTTGTTTTTTCATGACGGAAGGATTTTCCCCGGGTATGTTTTAAGTCCATATTTGCTCTTTCCCCCCAGGATCCTCTTGCATTAAACTGTAAACAAGTTTACAACGATATAGCAAAAATTTCACAATTTATGAATAGAAAAATACATGTAAAAAAACGCAACTGTGGTAATTTTCAGTGAAAAAAAAACCCTGCCAGATTACGATTTTATTAATTTAGCTCTTACTAGCGACCAATTATAGAATTAATTGCTTTAACTGGTGGATTGAAGAGCTTCACTCCAAATTAAATACTTACAAATATAAAATCTAGTCATCAAAAGTAATTTTCTTATTTTCTGGTGTTTTCTGCGATCCAAAACTGTCACTTTTATTAAACCCGCCTCTGTCTCCGCCTTCGCTGAACGATTTTCGAAAACCTCCGCGACCACCCCTATCGTTATCTCCAAACGATTTTCGGAAACCTCCACGACCACCCCTGTCGTTATCTCCCCACGATTTTCGGAAACCTCCGCGACCACCACCCCTGTCATTATCTCCCCATGATTTTCTAAAACCGCCCCGGTCGCCCCCACCRCGWCCGCCTCTAAAACCGCCCCCACCGCGTCCGCCTCTAAAATCGCCCCCACCGCGTCCGCCTCTAAAATCGCCCCCACCGCGTCCGCCTCTAAAATCGCCTCCAYCGCGKCCKCCTCGAAAACCGCCCCCACCACGCCCTCTAAAACCGCCACCGCCGCGACCCCAGCCCCCACGACCTCCAAATGAGTCGCGTTTGTTCTTGTTCCAACTGTCTTCGCTACCTTCTTCATCCTAATGTTAAAGAAAATGAATTAGTACAACTGGTACGCGAACTATCATCTAATGGTAACGTGCGAAATCAAATTGTACTTTTTGATAGGTTAGGAGACAGGTCGCGTACCAATTGCACACAAGTGAAATCGCACGTTACCTTTGCTTCAAATGAATTGTCAGACAGTCTGGGATCGAGGGCCACTTGGTCGTCCTTTACCCTTCGGAATGGACTGGGACGCTATAATCAGCAGAAATGGAGACAATTCATTTTATTCTACATGTACAAAAATCATATTTTGTTAAATTTATTAGTGCAAAATCGCCCAATTTATGATAAATTCAATAAATTATTCACTTTTAATATTTTTAAGTTATTGATAGTATATTATTATTATTACAGTCGTAGATAATAGTGTATTCAAGGCCAGTCTTGAAGCACAAATTATTTTAAATTTAAAGAATGAGTGTTTTATGCCATTTTTAAACAAAAATATTTACTATAATCTCTTTAGAGATTGTTGTAAGGTTTAGTAATTTCTTAATTTTAAAAGTCAAAATTTGATCTAGTCGCTTTTGACTATTAAGACATCGCGCATGATGACGTTACGTCCTTTAATATGTTAGACAAACAAAATGAAGGCAAATTACAACAAAATTATTATTAACTTTCCTGATACTAAAAGATTTTTGAGGAAATAAAAAAATTATGAATCTATTATAATTGATAATAATTTTAAATTTTCACTAAATAAATCTCTTGTAATAAAATTTTAAAACAATTAAAAAATGATAAATTACCTTATTATTTCCATTAAAACTGTTATTCTGTCCCGCTTTGACGAAATTATTATAATTCGACTTCTTTGCAACGAATCCATCATTTGCTTCATCTTCAGCTTTCCTCTTCACACCTTTAGTTTTAACTTCTGCCGGCTTTTCATCTGCAGATTCTTCCTCTGACGACGATTCCTTATTAGCAGCCAATTTCTTAGGTGCTGGAGTTGACGCAGCCTTTGGAGTTTTACTCTTGGGTGTCTTTTCTTCTTCTTCGCTACTTTCATCTGACGAACTCTCTTTCTTTACTGCTTTTTTCGCATTTGCTTGTGGTTTAGCCGGAGTTTTAACCGTCTTTTCCTCCTCTTCGTCACTTGATTCTTCAGAACTCTCTTCAGTCTTTTTCACAGGAGTTGGTTTTGCCGGAGTTGGCTTCTTTGTAGTTTCTTCTTCTGAACTGTCTTCCTCAGAACTGCTTTCTTTCGGTTTTGGTTTAGCAGCAGGTTTAGCCACGGCTTGTTTTTTCTGTGGTGGCTCGTCCTCAGATGACTCTTCAGAACTACTTTCTTGTTTCTTCTTGGCTGGAGTTGGTTTAGGTGGGGCCTTCACGGCAGGTTTAGGAGCTTCTTCTTCAGAGGAGTCTTCCTCAGAGCTACTTTCTTTCTTCTTTTGAGCTGGTTGTTGTGTGGGAGATGGTTTTGTTAGTTTTGCAGCTGGTTTGGGCGCTTGTTCTTCTGAAGACGAATCATCTGAACTACTTTCTTGTTTCTTTGCCGGCGCTTTCTGAGGCGCCGTTTTTGTCACAGGTTTTTTAGCCGGCCCTTTTGCGGGTTCTTCTTCCGAAGATGAGTCTTCTGAACTACTTTCCTTCTTTGCGGGTGGCGTTTTTGCTGGAGGTTTTTTATTGGCAACTGCTTTGCTTTGAACCTTAGGTGCCTCGTCCTCATCTGTACTATCTTCAGAACTACTTTCTTTTTTCTTCAACGCAGGTTTTGCAGGTGTTTTAACGATCGGTTTAGGAGGAGCTTTGACTGCTTCTTCTTCCGATGATGATGACTCATCTGAACTCTCCTTTTTCTGTGGAATGACTTTAGCGGTAGGTTTGACTGCTACTTTCTGTTGTGGCTTCGACGGCTCATCATCTGAATCCTCAGAACTGTCTTCTGAACTATCTTTCTTACTTTGTACAGGTTTTGTAGATGTTTTCAAAATTGATTTAACTGGGGCTTTTTTAGGTGCCTCTTCTTCAGAGGATGAGTCATCTGAGCTACTTTCTTTCTTTTGAACTGTTTTAGCAGCAGGTTTAGCCGGTGTTTTCTGAACAGGTTGCTTTGGTGCTTCATCTTCTGATGAATCATCATCTGAACTACTTTCTTGTTTTTGTTTTTGTGGTGGTTTAGCTGGTTGTTGCTTGGCAGGCGTTTTAATAGCTGGTTTCTTCACGGTAGTTTCTTCAGAAGAACTATCGTCGCTACTTGATTCAGCTTTTTTCACTCCAGGTTTAGTCTGTTTTAATACGCCATTAACCACTTTTGCTTTTGAAGGCTGTTCATCCTCGCTACTACTTCCGTCACTCTCTGCTGAATTTAATTTCAATTGTTTCGACTTAGGACCGGATTTCAAGTAATGAGAAACAATTTCAGTCAACGTGGGAGAGCCTTTTTGTAAACTGGCCTGTAAATACAACACTCATCAATAATTTTAAAACGGAGGCAATTAATACGCATATAGAATAATCGTTATGCAAAGAGAAGAATAATTAAGATCGTTTAGACTTGGTTTAAATTCAAATTTTGGAAGCACGTGGTGCGGCCTCATGTATGTCAAGAAAAGTCTCAGGATTTACGAAAAGCAGTGCAATTTTTTTTAGAAACTTGTGAGTACTCACCGTTTTATTCTTTTTTTGGAACACATTGGCCAAGTTTTTGTCTTTTGCCAATAAAAAATCGTACATTAACGCGGAAGCCACACTTTCGGTGCTGTCCGCCATGACTGCCGATAAAAAAGAAATCATAAAGGAATTTACAATCTGAGGCTAGTTCACATGCGTACCTCTGCGCATGACAAGTGAAAGTATAGTAGCGCCCTCTGCAGAAAGTAAGAAACACCAATAAATAATTTAAATCTTTATTCTAACAAATAATACAAGTTAAGCACAGTTACAGGATAGAAATTAGCTATAAAAATAAACAAATCTCTGAATAAATAATACACCGAATTGAAAATGAAATATCGCAATGGCACCGAATGCATTTAAATAAATAATCTATCACCTAACAGTTTGAGTATTGTGTTTATCTTGAATTCGCTTTGACTTAGAATGGAGTTTTTGAAATAATTTGAACATATCTTTTTCTGGAAATAAGGTACACAAAACACCTTCTAACAGAACATAAAATAGCCTACGATTCAAAATTGGTCTTTGAAACAGTTCAAAAATTGTTAGTAAGCCTCTTCTTGTGGTCTCAGATCCTATTATATGTTTAAGTTCATCTACAACAAAAAATAAATATTAATAGTCAAATCAGTCAAAAATTACCTGATAAGCACGACAGGAGAGCAACTTTAGCTGCAACTCTGGTACGATTTCGCGTATCTTCATCGCGGTCTGCCTTTTTCTCATATTTCACACCATTTGGCCAAAATGATTGCCTAAATTGCATAGAATTTGTGAAAAAACCAAGGCAAATGTTAAATATCTTACTTAAAAACGTATAAATAATGCGCTACATTTTTCGGACTCGTAATAAGCGAGACATAATCCAATATTCTACGATTGACAATATCGCCAAACATGGTCCGCACAATTTGCCTCAACAAAGTCACTATTCTCCTCCTCAACCACTGATTCCGTGATTTTAAATCAAAAACCTCGTCCATAAGCAGTAACATAATCCTCAATGGAATGTTATCATCAGTCTGCAATTCTAGTTTAGTAAAAAACAACACAAAAATTAAAAATAAACCTCTTCTATTGAAGCTCCGACTTTACTAGCCTCAGGCAACCGTCCCGGTTTGCCATGAAAAACTTTGGTAATGCCCCCCATGACTTCATCAACTGTATTAAACAACTGTTCCGGCATATTTTTAATTGTTTTCATGCCAGATTTCAACGGATTGACCAAAGTGTTGATCTGAAAATAACAAATAGTAGAAATTTTTAGCACTCGTGATGACATACAGTGCTGGAAATAGGCCCCCCCGTCGCTTTATCGTAATCTCCTTGCTCCAAAAACGTCATTATCAAGTCTTGCAATCCGGTATGGGACGTTATAACGTTATGGTTACATAATTCGCTCATGTAAGAGCCTAACATTTTCATGCGACGCTCGAGGACAGCTCTGTCCATATTATGGAATGTTTTTTTGCCAGGGAATGATAATTTTGAAAGATCCGGAAACTGTTAAACTTTATTAAAAGCAAATTAAAACTAGCAAACTGTTACTTTATCCTTGACTTTGCTGTACAAATCATAAAAATCGCTGTAGCGCCTGTAAATGTGCCACTCTTCAAGAAACCCAGTTTCATATTGCCGACTCACTCTAATCGCATAAATACCGAACATTTTGCCCTTTTCACACACAATTCCTGCGGAAAAAAAATAGAAACCACACAAATTTAAACACCCTCTACCTGTCTCAATAATGTTAACATTTAAAATAAAATCGCCAGTTTTGAGACTTTTCTCCAAAGCCCGTTGGTCTTCCACCGTCAAAACCTCCTCCGTTTCAAACTTAACAAAATCGTCCTTCCCATTTGACCTGAGTTCGTTATTATTTTTGCTCATAAACATTGTAACATCGCTGAAGGACCTGGCATGCTTGACGTTTTTTCCGGTGTTTTCCGGCACTAAAAACAGATTATTTGCGTGTTGTTGCGGCGTATTGTGCTCCGATTTGGTTTCCGTATTTAACAATTCGATTGATTCATTGCTGTTTAGACTGATCGCGTCTTCTTCCGTCACGTTTTGTTGCACTAAATCCAACTCTTGGAGAAGTTTAAAGTAAGCTTTGCTTTTCTTAAATGATATTAAATACTCGTCATCGTTTTCCATTTTGTCGTAGATTGCGTGTTGGACTTCGTCAAACCACAACTCGGAAGGAATTTCATTCAAGTTGCGAATTTTGAAAAAAAGACTTTGGGTCAAAGCGGGTTTCAGTACAACGCGTTGGTCGGACTTTTCACCCAAATATTGGTTGTAAATACTCAAAGCGGTTGAACGAATCTCTTCAAACACAGCAGAAGAGTTGTCGCTAGTGCCTTTTATCTTGTTTATGTGCAAATCAGACAGTTGCTGCTCCACGGAGACTTTCCAGCCTAAATCATTTCATCCAAATGTGGAATTTTACTATTTCAATTTTACCTTCAATAGTTAAGTAAAAAAATAAATCCAAGTGCTTCTTTTGACTCGACACGTAGTCAATAAAATACGACAAAGCGACGTTGTTTTTCAATATCTGATGCAACTTTAAATCGATTTTTTTAATGCTTTCCAACTGGACGTAATCAAGAGAATTGGGTGTATCTAAAATTCACACAATTCAAACATTTTGTAAAGTTTTAAGAGAGAGAAATACCTAAATTTTCTGCATCTTGCATTTTTATTAGCCGACTCTCGATTAATTTCAAAACGTAAGACAGACTGCTCAGTTGCTGTTTAATTGCGAGATCACTGTCGCCCCCAGAATCGCGTGATCTCTGCATTTGGTAAATTACAATTGAAAAAAAAAAATGTTAGAAGACTTACCAATTGTTGTATTTCTTTCTCAACTAGATTTTTAGTACTTTTTAGTTCATCACAGTTGTCTGCAATTCTTAGAGTCGTTAAAAAAATGTCACTTGGCAAAGTACCATCACGTAAACACTGCAAATCGTTAGTTAACAACAAAACAAATCAAATATTCAACCCACCAGCCAAATTATTGCCTGATTAATGTAGTCGGGGTCAGACAACATAGAGAAAAGCGGTTGAATAACACAGTTGGAGAAGATTTCTCGTAAAACGTACCGCAAAGGCTTGCATTGGAAATCTTCATCAGGGAGAAGGATATACAATAATATTTCAATAATTTCGCACAAAAATTCTACAAGAATTTTTCAAAATAAAATTATTGCTTGGGTATAATACCTTTTTCTTTGGCCACGTCCATACTAACTATATCTCTACAAACTAAATAATTTTCCATTTGACACTCTAGATCAAAGAAGTGGTCTTCCAGAGTGGTACTTTTTTTGGGATCGCTCAGATAAAACTTCGAATTTCCAACATTTACCTCAGATTCTGTTAAAGTTATTATTTCATTTATTTATCACAGATGGATCAAATCGATTACCTTTCTTAATTTCATTTGCTTTCCCATGGTACCACCCAATATCCGTTTCACTTTTATTTCTCTTGTGAGTTTTTCTTGGCGAATTTTTCTGGTCTTTGAGTGGTGATTGTTTTGGTGTTTTGGTTTTTTCTAAAAATTTCATCCTTGCTCTTGCTTGCTTAAAAAGTCGTAAATGTGTGGCTGCATCATCTACTAATCTTGTGGTTAAATAAGGAATCCAATCAATCTCTTTCACCCTGTTTGAAATGTTGATAGCAAAAGTTTGTGCAGTTTTCTTTATTGTTATATCAGTAAATTCTGTATCTCTTGATATCAAGTTGTACCATGGTGAAATATAATCTCTGACTATGTAGCCTAGTATTTCTTGTAATGAATTGTCAATTAGCTCACTCCCTGTTACCCTACTGTCGGTTTTTTGTACTTTTTGAGGACTTACAAGTTGCTTAACCACCTGTTTTAAACCACCTTCTGGAAGAATATCAACTGTTAGAGGATTTCCAGCACAGTGGTTGTGGAACTTGTCAATATCACCCTTTCTTAAATATATCAAGGTAAGGAAACTAAAAATGATATTTTTAAAAAACAACAATGATACCCTTATTGCAGTATCTATACCCTAGAATAAATGTAAGTAGCCCTAGGACCGTTGTGAGAAATGAAAATAACCCAAAAGAAGTTAAGAACAAAGTAATTATTAAGCCAATCCATCCTAAGGCATTTATATCCATTTTTTGAAGGAAATAAAATAAATCGCAGCTCTAAAAAACTACTTGATAACATAAACAAACACTATAATTAAACCCATACTTGACGAGATAATGTAAGACTAATTTAGTCCTATTTATAATAAATCACATGATAATTGTGAACAATTAAATCACTACTATTAAATTTCTTCATATTTACGATTCTTTGCACGAAACGTCACTGTTTTGAGGTTATATCAATTTGAGTTTTTTTCCAGAAGATGTCGCGACAAAATTTTGCACCAAGTTTAAAATAAGGGTTATCATGCACTTTTTTATACAAAATGTACAAAACTTGGGTTTAAACAATTTTTAAATTAAAATAGTTTAAAGTTAAGAAGTTATTAGTGTTGGTGAAAAAARTGGGCGCCGCTCAATCAAATCGGTTTTCTGGTGCATGCGTAAAAAAGGGGTGCAAGTTTGAAATGTGTGTTTGTATTGGGATAGACAAGATTTGAAATATGGCAAAATTTATCGCAACTATTAAGGCAATAATAACGCGCTTGGTTTTTGCACTACACGGGTTTGTTGCCATTTGGCAAGTGACGATTTTTAAGAAAAATTATTTTTATTGGTACTTGAGTTCACCGATTTTGTTGCTATTTTTCGAAGGGATATTCACCCTCACCATTAAGGAAAATCAAGAGTGGAAGTGGTGAGTCACAATTATTTGCAATATTTTTATTAGTTTATTAACTAAATTAAATATTTTTCTAAATTATTAGAGTCGCGCTTTTAAAGTTTTTTTTTTGATAAATTCTTCACCCTGGAAAACGTTGCTAAAAAATTGTTAATATAATTGGGGTAAGATGGGCTTTTCTGTCTACATTTCCACCTGACAAACGAGACAAATAATGAGGGGTTATGACGTTGGTAAAAGCTAAAGTGGTGAATTGATGGTTTGACTTTTCATTTCCGCACAATTTACAAATGCATTGTTATGATGGTAATCTGCACTTAGTTAGGTGACCTCGTTTGATATTGATAGGGGAGAACGACTCAACTTTTGGGATCAATTTACATTTTTATAATTCAATAACTTCACTTAATAAAATTAAAAAATTGCAGGTTCTGCCCTTCTGTTTTTCTTTATTTGGCAAGCATAGTCCCTGCAATTTGGCTCTTGGAACTGGACAAAGTCGATCGTCGATTAAGAGTTAAAGAAGAGACATTTAACTTAACTTCAACGGCAAATTTAAAAGAGTTAAATAGCCTAATTGGGGTAATGTCTTGATTTTTTAAATGTTTCCATATTTTGTGGCATTTCAGGTCCAAATAAAACTGCCTGAAATCCCTCTAAGCACCGAAACGTGGATTACTCTAATTGAACAATTTTTAATGCTAATTCTTATAATTGGGCGTTGGATGTTACCTAAAGGTGACTTAACTCGAGACCAACTAAGTCAGTTGCTTCTGGTTTACATTGGTGAGTTATAATCGACTTAATTTTTTTATTATTATTTTTCTTTCAGGAACGGCTGCCGACATCATAGAGTTTTTTGATTCTTTCAAAGACGATAAAATCGCCTCGGAACCGCTTTTAGTATTGTTAACACTGGGAATTTGGTAAAACAAATAAAAGTTTGTCTCAATTAAATAAATTGTCTTTAGGTCATGGAGTCTGATGCAGTTTACTGTTGTTTTGACGGCAACRAAATCAAGAAAATCCCGGCTTACGTCGACTGGTTCTATAATTAATCAGTTTGGTGGTGCAAAATTTTAAGTATTTTAAGCGATTCAAAATTATTTTAGGTCCGACAGTTGCTGTACTATAGATGTGTGGGGAATTGCACTCAATATCACGTTGCAAGATGCTCCATTTTTGGTGTTTCGCCTTTTATTAATAACGCATTTCCAAATTATTTCCTACATGAATGTGTTTTTCACGTGCAAGAACACTCTGGTTATACTTTTGCAACTTTATAGACTTTACGTYGTTTACAGCGAGCATGGGAAACGGCGGCGACCAAAAAACGATTTCGAATTGACCAATATTTCAATTATTTCAAAACCCGATATGTACGGAGGCAGAAAAAAATACAGAGAGAGAATTAAACCGAAGAAAAATCGACCAAAAAAAGTGCTTTCCGAAGAGTCGGTAGATTCAAGTGAGGATTCTTCCGGTGACAAAAAGAAGTACTTTCAAGTGATTGTAATGAATCAAAAATAATTTTTTTCGGTTTTAGAAAAATCAAAAATTGTCGCAAAGACACGGGATACTCAACTGGGAGTTCCCACACAAGTGCTCGAGGTCACAAAGGCCGGAACAAGAAATCAAAAAGTCGGGAAAATTCTTCCGAGAATAAGAAAATGAAAAAACTCAAACGTTCTGATCAAGAAACCAAAGGCAAAAGGCGACTCGAAGAAGCATTTTCTGAAGAAAGCGAAAGTGACCTGTCGCCGGTTGAGAAGAAAGAAGAAAAACGGACAAAGAAAGTCCGAAGTTATGAAAAAGAACCGACAATTTCGGTGTCTACAAGTGACGCGTCATCAGAATGACGCCATCAATTGGCCATAATGGCTATATTTTGCCTCTACCTCTTTATTTTTATATGCTGTCTATTTTTTATATATTGCGGAATTAATTCCGAAGGATTAGTCATAGCCAAAGTTTATAAGAAGAATAAAACTCATCACTGAGAAATTGTAGCAGAAACTGAAGTGTTATTAGGTTTTGTGATAGATGCAGTAAAACTCGTAAATATTTAAAGAAAAAATTATTTTGAATAATGAAAAATAACAATTCTATTTAACACATCACATTTTTAGCTTTAACTATGTTAAGAATTTCATTAAATCTTCATCACTATTCTTTGCAATAGACAAAAATTTGACTTGTTGTTTAAACATATTAACAGCGTTTGTAATTTGTAAATCACTTTCTTCATTTTTTTGATCTTTTGCAGTTTTAGACACTATTTTCAAGTCTTTGATGTAATCTCTTAATAATAATAAATTGGATTCAAAAAGCAGTTTCAACTCTTTCAAAGGCACTTTTTTTTCATCGACTTTAGCGCTGTTAATTTTTCTTTTTCTGCCTAGTCTAAAAGGCATTTTCCTATTTATCACTCTTTTTCGTGGTTTGCCTCTTCGTGGCACAGATTCTAGTTTCCAATCTTCCGAATCTTCATTTTTTGACACACAGGTTTCGGAAACGTCCTAAAAAAGCAAAAATAATAAAATAAGTAACTCAATTTTAATAAAATTGTTGCAACGGTAAGAATTCCTGTGAGATTAGTGTTTACGAAACTATTAATAATCAAGTGTCTTAAGCCAGTTGTCTATGTCATCGATCAACATCTGTCATTATCAAATTGCGACTCTAATTAATACAATTTTGGCTTTAAAACCTCTAAATGGTCCTAGACTCAAGACAAAATCCATTATTGTTGCCGTTTGCACCCTAGGTAAGTCTTTTGCACCCTTCATAACACCCAACCTTTTCAACTTTTTTCCCAATTTTGTCGTTCAAAATCTTACCAAAGCCTCCTCGTCTTCCACCGAATTTTCAATAAACTCATTTTCGTCCTTAAACCGTCTGCTAACTCGTGCTTTCCTCACCGGGTTCCTGCGTGGGGTGCCCTTGGTGGCCACTTTTAGTCCATTGGTCCTTTTAACTCCGTTAAATTTATACTCCTTGACAAATATGACATCATCATCGCTCTGGTCGCTAAAACTCCCATTTTCTCCCGATATGGGCGAACAGTCGATCATGGTGAAAGCTTCAAAAACGGTACCATTCAAACAAAGGTTCAAAGGTTCCGTCTGTTCGACTTGAAACAAAGCTCGGGTGGTGGAACCAAAAAGAGTTTCAGTTTGACGATCGTTGGGTTCCATAACGTCAGTTAGGAGAACCACGGGTTGGAGAGAATCGCAAGCGGCCATTGAAAAGTCGCTGGAAAAATAAAGTTTTACATAATCAGAATCAAAGCTGTGTTGATGCAGCCACAAATTGCGATTTTGGCACTCATTTGTAACACATTTTTGGCAAAATTTTAAAGTAGATGACGTATTTTAGTAAAATGTAAGTGTTAAATGAGAAAAAATAATCAAAAAGCACTTACTTTGAGTATAAAAATCAAGTGATAGTTAAATGTCAGAGAAAAGTTTAACAGCCACTTGTGAGTGATTTAATTCGTTGCTTGGCAACAAGCGGAGGTGTATTTGATTATAATTTTTCATCTTGGATTGAAATTAGAAATGGCTTTGTTACACGTGGAGTTGGGCAAATATTTGGCAAGTTGTTTAACGGCTTGCCAACTCTCCAATTTAGTAAAAAAAAAATCAAAGTGACATTTCGAGAGAGCCCAGAAAGTTTCTCAACTTAAAGCGAGCGAAAATAGCGTCAAAATTTGTCGGAAAAAATATTTGTTGGTTTTGCAATTTTAATAAAGCAACAGGATGTGCCAAATTAGAACCAATATTAATAAATCATTGATTTGGAAGGTCTAAATTTAAAACTGCACGTACAAATTTCGCGAAGCGAGGATTTATTTATCGCAATTTCCTTCATTTTTAACGCTCATAATGTTTATTTTTCACATGCCGATGGTATTTTCACGAAATTCTAAATTAGCAAGATCAAAAGATGGTAATAAGCACGTGTTTTAAAGATTAAATAAAAGAGTCGTAAAAGTTTCAAAGCAGTTTTTGAAAAGATAAGTGAATTTTTGCCACGCTAACAAAATAACTCTATTTTTTAAAATCACTGCACCTGCTAGAAATTCTAAAATATTTTTAGTTTTGTAGATACAATGTGGCGACGTCAAGCCGAGAAAAAAAAACATCTAGCAAGAGTTGAACGGTGAATCACGCAGGTTAAAACATAAATATCAAAAGATGTCATCTTGTCAACTTAATTTAATTAAATGAAGTATAGCTGCTGCCAAATTCCAGACATGTAATTGCTGTATAAGTTGAGTAATGAAGTGTCGATTTCATGGTATTTTTGGTATTTCAAAAATTCGAAATTTTTTTTTAAAGCTTGAATTTTAAATGAATTATACAGTCTGGTTTTAAAATAAATCCAAATTTATTAAAGCTTCTTCCAATAAATTTACAGCAGCTTAATGTCTACAAGCTTAATGTCTACTCCCCGTTTGTTTTAATTCATTGTTTAAAGTAGTTATAATATTTTTTTTAATAAAAAAATATCGTGTTTTGTTTAGATTGAAAAAAATTTGATTGTAAGCCAAACATTTTT